CCAGTTGCTGGATTTAAAAACAAAGAATTATGGAAACTCGAAATTTGAATGTCTTAGTGCTGATAGCCTTTGTTAATATAAACCTCTTTACACTACTGTAACAGAATTAAAATTTTTCTCCCTTTAATATTGAAATAGGTAATTCTGAAATCCAGTTTGCTGGATTTAAAAAACAAAGAATTATGGAACTCGAAATTTGAATGTCTTAGTGCTGATAGCCTTTGTTAATAAAACCTCTTGACACTACTGTAACAGAATTAAAATTTTCTCCTTTTAATATTGACATAGGTAATTCTGAAATCCAGTTGCTGGATTTAAAAAACAAAGAATTATGAAACTCGAAATTTGAATGTCTTAGTGCTGATAGCCTTTGTTAATAAAAACCTTTTTTTCTCCCTTTAATATTGACATAGGTAATTCTGAAATCCAGTTGCTGGATTTATAAAACAAAGAATTATGGAACTCGAAATTTGAATGTCTTAGTGCTGATAGCCTTTGTTAATATAAACCTCTTTACACTACTGTAACAGAATTAAAATTTTCTCCCTTTAATATTGAAATAGGTAATTCTGAAATCCAGTTGCTGGATTTAAAAAACAAAGAATCATGGAACTCGAAATTTGAATGTCTTAGTGCTGATAGCCTTTGTTAATAAAAACCTCTTGACACTACTGTAACAGAATTAAAATTTTCTCCCTTTAATATTGAAATAGGTAATTCTGAAATCCAGTTGCTGGATTTAAAAACAAAGAATTATGGAACTCGAAATTTGAATGTCTTAGTGCTGATAGCCTTTGTTAATAAAAACCTCTTGACACTACTGTAACAGAATTAAAATTTTCTCCCTTTAATATTGACATAGGTAATTCTGAAATCCAGTTGCTGGATTTAAAAAACAAAGAATTATGGAACTCGAAATTTGAATGTCTTAGTGCTGATAGCCTTTGTTAATAAAAACCTCTTGACACTACTGTAACAGAATTAAAATTTTCTCCCTTTAATATTGAAATAGGTAATTCTGAAATCCAGTTGCTGGATTTAAAAAACAAAGAATTATGGAACTCGAAATTTGAATGTCTTAGTGCTGATAGCCTTTGTTAATAAAAACCTCTTGACACTACTGTAACAGAATTAAAATTACATAGGTAATTCTGAAATCCAGTTGCTGGATTTAAAAAACAAAGAATTATGGAACTCGAAATTTGAATGTCTTAGTGCTGATAGCCTTTGTTAATTAAAACCTCTTGACACTAATGTAACAGAATTAAAATTTTCTCCCTTTAATATTGAAATAGGTAATTCTGAAATCCAGTTGCTGGATTTAAAAAACAAAGAATTATGGAACTCGAAATTTGAGCGTCTTAGTGCTGATAGCCTTTGTTAATAAAAACCTCTTTACACTACTGTAACAGAATTAAAATTTTCTCCCTTTAATATTGACATAGGTAATTCTGAAATCCAGCTGCTGGAGATTTAAAAAACAAAGAATTATGGAACTCGAAATTTGAACGTCTTAGTGCTGATATAGAAGCATTGGAAAAACACAAATGTGAGTTTAGCTCACAGCGCAAGTGATCTGCTTTGAAAGACATGGAGAAAGAAGATATGATGACTTTTAAACACATGGAATAGTATTCCTGACTGGTAGCCAGCTGAAAAAACTAGCGTTTGCTGTTCTTTCCTTATTCGGGTCTGCGTATTCATGCGAACAATCATTTTCATGCATGAATCTTATTAAGAGTAAATTAAGAAGTCGTCTTATTGATGAGAACTTGTAATAATACTTAAAATTAAAAACAACAACATCCAAACCAGAGTTAGATGATCTTTCCAAGCAGATGCAAGCCATTGTTCACTTTACTGTTTGTTCGTCATTGTGATGATTTTACTTTTTGGGTACCTTACAATTTTATTTTATCAATAAATAGTACCGTTGTTAAATGTAATATCAAGTTTTATTCTACATTCCTATAAACTAGTTTAACTAAGACTTTAAAATTTAAGTATTACATTAATTTTAGAGAGAGTTGTGGAGTGAAAAAAAGATGTAGTGTTGAGAATTGAGAAAGATATGTTTAAGATGGTTTGACATATAGATAGGACGAACAAAAGAAGATATACGAAACGTGTATGCAAGACAAGGGCGGAAGAGGGTCGACCTCAGAGAACGTACGTTGATCAGATCAAACACATTCTCAGTAAAAGATAGCGTGATAGCGTAAGAGTTCCCTCTGAGCGGCCAGGGTTTTCGCTAAGAAGGCACAAATTTCCCAAAACTACTATGAGAACAATTTATTTTTTTTATTTTAATGTAAAAACTTTCCTGGCATTACATACCTGGATTTGTGTACTTTTGATATATTGCCTTAATTTCTTTCACATATTTTAATAGGCACGTATATATACGTTCTTACAGATATCACAAAAAATATTCTACGCCGTATATATACGGCCTTGCCGCATAGAGGGTTAAGTGCATAACAATACACCTACCTATATGGTTTAAGTTTAAAAAAATGTGGCTCTAAAAAGAGATTTTAATCTTTGAACTGCTGATAATTGACTCTGTTGACTAATGAGTTTGCCGACCATTATGCTAGCATATTTGAAAAAAGTAAATTCTTCTTATTATTTCATTTTTCATTATTATTTACACTGTTTTTGCTTTTATTTTTTGTACTTTTTATGCATCTGTTCGCTGTTGATTTCAATGGTGTTTTAATTTACTTATTCACAGTGTTTACTGCTTATGCAAACATTTTTATTATTATAATAACTTGATGCAGGTTGAATACGTAATGCATTTATTGTTTTTTCAATATTACCACCAGTTGTTACAGCTTTCAATGTATTATTGGGTTATATTTAGAATTTTTTATATTACATCATGTATTATATCAATTTATCTATTTGCCTCTCTATATACATACATGCATATATATATTTATATATTATAATGATAATAAATGTTTAACTTACGAAACGCAAAATTCAAATTAAAGAAAGATTTACGGAACGCATTACTTGCGCAGCTCAGCAGTTTATTATATATATATGGTCATTAAAATGTTATTGGTACTTGAAATCTGAAATGAGAAATAAGTTAAAATTTCAAAACATAAGGCATACTTAATTAAAATCTTATAATCCCTCCATTTATCCAACTAATTGTATCTTTTCGAATTTTGACCTCGAATCCAAGCGATGTTGGATTCATAGCAAAAATATACCTATCCAGGTATGTTCAAGGCAAAAATATGTAAGCAGTCTATGAGCTAGCCATACACAATGAGAAAATCCAAAGACCTGTAACAAAAGCAGTAGAGTGCCTGACAGAAAAAAATGTCCCACCTTGGAAGAATAGTTAAAAATAAACCGAACTTTGTACACGATCAAACACTTAACAAATGGTTTAATGTTCAACGACGTAAAAAAATAAGACATTTAGATATACAAGACATTAATAAGATGTTTGAGCCCTATTCGTCAACCCGACATTCCATAGTACCAGTGAGTTTCAGAAGGATGTCTTGTGGTATCATGAACCACGCGTTCTTCATGTTACCACACTGTTCATCTTCGTTTCGGGGAGGAAGGTTTCATCTTCGTTTATTCAACCGACACCTAATTATGTCCGACAAATGCTCGATTAGAGTGGGATCGGAGTCTTGAACTGGCCAAGGGAAAGATTGCCCACTTGAGCATTCCAAGTAACCGAAAAGGGATTTGAAGAATGAATGACTAACATATGCCGTTTTCAAAAATAAGTAAATAAATAACCGTATGGTTATCTCTCAAAAAAGAGGCATTTAGGATGCCCTGAAAATACAGAAGATTGAACTGCAGCACATCGTTAACATAGCGGCGTTCCGCTAATGTGTCTGTAATGCGCACTAGAGATGAACGACTGTTAGTGCTAACATTTCTGTGAACTAATAATATTATTTTTCAAAGACAGGCCGGCTGTCATTCTAAAATGGTATACGCGGTTGTTAGCTCATCATGTGGTGACACCATTCCAAATGCTCACGGCGATAATTACGCGCATCGATACTGCAACAGCAGGAAAAACTCTGTACGCTTCACAAATTATCTTCTATTGAGAACAGTGGTTCAGTGTTGAGGACAGTGGACTAAGTGTATGTAGCGCTTAGTGCGTCTGATGCCGTTTTCGAGGAAGCCCCTCATGAATTCGTTCGTTTGCTGATGCTGGGTACGACGACGTCTAAAATGGATTATATTGTCTTCTTTATTCACCAGACTCAGAAACAGCAGCAATGATGATACCTAAATTAATGGGTTCGTGCGCTGTTTGTATGTTGATATCCCGCAGCATGCTAAGCGTGTGATTGGCTTGCCATTTCAATTACTTACATACTTTGTACATATGCACTCCCATAGAAATTCACATGTCAGTGCGTAGGCTCTTCCCGGTGTGACATTTTCTTTGTCAAGTAGTGTATTTTGTAATAGTGTATGTAATCCGTAGCATCCCAAAGAAGTGAATTTGTTCACATCCCCAAAGAAGTTGTTAATTTTTTAAGATTAAATTTGTTAGACATGTATATTTTTTTTCCTTACACCTCTTTCCTCCAACAATGTGAATTATTTTCCAAAAGTATTTTTTTCTTACGAAGAAGACAATAACCTGTCTATAGAAGTACACTCGACAAATATTTATTGAAATTAACAGCAAACCTCAAGGTGAATTTTGCCGTTTATTCAATATCTGCTTGATGCTGGTATAACATAACACAGCATAGGATTATTTTAAAATTAATTCATGGGCATTATTATATTTTTGAAGAACTAGTTTATATAGAGATAGTAGGTTTATTCTTTAAAAATGGTGTGTTTACATAAAAAAGTGTTTTTCTACAGCAACTGAAACAGTAAGCAAAAAGAAATAAACAATTTTCTTTCATTTTCAGAATTAAATGTAAATTTTAAAAGTATCTTTCTGTACCTATGTATTCTTTCTTTTTTTTTTTTTTTTTCAGTTTCTGAAATGGGACAAACGACAGACGAGGATTCAGAAAATAATAAGACACCATCCTTGAGCTCAACGCCCCACGTAGACAAAAGTGAAAACCTAAGATTTCCATTGACTCGTAACAGAAGAAGTAACAATAATTTAGAAAATAACGCAGCGCTTGGCTCTGTGTTTCAATACAATGATCAAATCATGAGAAATCTTCTAAAAACCCAAGCACCAAAACCTTTAAGTTATGCACGCTCTCATTTCTTTTTAAACTTATTAAAGCCACTAAACAGAAGGACGGTTAGATACAGTGGATGGGACGATCATTCGGTAATGCATTTTGGAAAAAGGTCTCCAATGTATGATGAATACGAAGATCTATTTATGAAAAGGGATCCATATCCTTTTTCAGATCATTCTGTCATGCATTTCGGAAAAAGATTTCAATCTGAAAGCGATGCACAAAATTTTGATGAAAAACGGTCACCATATTCATGGTCAGAGCATCAAGTTATGCACTTTGGAAAAAGGTCTGTAGAAAGTGATAAAGATACAGACATTGAGGAGGAAGCGAATGAATTACCGATCGAATCTTCTGCTGTGCAATCACATAAACAAGAAGAAAGCGAGGATAGCACGCACAGGTTAAAAGATGACAACAGTTTTCTATTTGACAAACGAAATGAACCATGGCATAGAGTTATGAATTTTGGAAAAAAATCTGACAATTTTTTAAGCGATCCTAGTAATATATATTTTGATGAGCAAGATAGCATGATGGACACTGACAGCATAGTAAACATTGATAGAAAGGCAGAAAACTTATGGGATCACAGTACGATGCATTTTGGAAAGAAAAATTATCCATGGCATAGCATAATGAGCTTTGGAAAAAAGTCTGAAAATCCATGGGATCATAGTACTTTGCACTTTGGAAAGAGAGATGAATATGGTCCTTGGCATAGTATGATGAACTTTGGGAAAAAATCTGAAAATCTGTGGGATCACAATACTATGCATTTTGGAAAAAGAAATGAAATGGATCCTTGGCACAGTATGATGAATTTTGGTAAAAAGTCTGATAACTTCTGGGATCACAATACCATGCACTTTGGGAAAAGGTACGGAACTGATACTTGGCATAGTATGATGAATTTTGGAAAAAAGTCTGAAAATCCATGGGACCACAATACTATGCATTTTGGTAAACGAGAAGTGGATGATCCGTGGCATAATATGATGAGCTTTGGCAAAAGATCTGACATTCTTTGGGATCACAACACTATGCATTTTGGTAAAAAGGATGCAAGTGATCCATGGCATACCATAATAAACTTCGACAAAAAATCTGGAAATCCATGGGATCAACACAGTACGCTGCACTTTGGGAAACGAGATGATGCAGATCATTGGCATAATATGATGAACTTTGGTAAAAAATCGGAATCCCCGTGGAATAATCATAATACCATGCATTTTGGAAAAAGAGATGTTGATGATCCTTGGCATAGCATGATGAGTTTTGGCAAAAAATCTGAATCTCCATGGAATAGCCATGATACTATGCATTTTGGGAAAAGAGATGTTGATGATCCTTGGCACAGCATGATGAGTTTTGGTAAAAAATCTGAATCTCCATGGAATAATCATGATACCATGCATTTCGGAAAAAGAAATGCTGAAGATCCTTGGCATAGTATGATGAGTTTTGGAAAAAAGTCAAATGACCTAACAGATATTCTTGACACGCATACTTATGAAAAGAGAGCAGCGCCTTGGGAAAGTCACCACACAATGCATTTTGGAAAGAGATCAAACGGAAGCGTTACTCAGTATTCTTCACAAGACGATGCCTTAATGCACTATCCCTACAAGCACAGAGAAAAGCGATCTGTAAAAGAAATAAATAATCAAAATACGGAACAGTCGGACAAAAGAGCTGATCCGTGGGAAAATCATAACACTATGCATTTTGGTAAGAAAGCTGATTCTTGGGATTATCATAACACATTACATTTCGGAAAAAAATCAAATTACAGCGAAGATAGTTCTCCAAAAGTATTAGAAGAATTATGGAAAGAACCATGGGAGAATCAGCAAGCACAACTAGAGAAAAAATATTATCCGTGGGAAAACCATAATACCATGCATTTTGGAAAACGGTTTGACGAATCGTGGGCAAATCATAACACGTTGCATTTTGGAAAAAAATTAGATCCATGGGAAAGTCACAATACAATGCACTTTGGAAAGAAATCTGAACCATGGGAAAATCATAACACGATGCATTTTGGTAAGAAATCGGATCCATGGGGAAGTCACGATACTATGCATTTCGAGAAGAAATTAACTCCATGGGAAAGTCATAATACAATGCACTTTGGAAAAAAATCAGATCCATGGGAAAGTCACAATACTATGCATTTCGGAAAGAAATCATCTCCATGGGAAAGTCATAATACAATGCACTTTGGAAAAAAATCAGATCCATGGGAAAATCACAACACACTGCATTTTGGAAAGAAATCCGAACCGTGGGAAAATCATAACACAATGCATTTTGGTAAGAAATCAGATCCATGGGAAAATCACAATACGATGCATTTTGGAAAGAAATCCGAACCGTGGGAAAATCATAATACAATGCACTTTGGAAAAAAATCCGAACCGTGGGGAAATCATAACACAATGCACTTTGGGAAAAAATCAGATCCATGGGAAAATCACAATACTTTACATTTTGGAAAAAAATCCGAACCATGGGAAAATCATAACACAATGCATTTTGGTAAGAAATCAGATCCATGGGAAAATCACAATACAATGCATTTTGGAAAGAAATTCGATCCTTGGGAAAATCATAACACAATGCATTTTGGAAAGAGATTTGACAGTACTGAACAGAATACACTGGTACCTGAAGTTCATGAAGTTGAATTACAGAATAATTTTACCAAAGAAACTGTTGCCAAATCTGATAACATAAAACTACCAAACCAAACTCCTTTACTTGAAAATGGTTTTGATGGTAAAGTCTTGGCTATAAAAAAAAGATCAATAAAAAAGCCCACAAATAGTATATAAGCACAGAAAACAAAAAACGTGAGAATACTACTATGAAAAATATTAAGGAATTTACCAGTAGACCACCTTTAGTCTCAAAGGCTCTCCATACTAAGACATCTATCTTATCACAAACACCTATAAATTCGGATCAAAACGGCAGCAAATTAAGTGAAGATTATCAAAAAGACGAAAACCTTATTTCAAAAGGGCTTGAATTAAATGATACTACGGAGAGAATGTGGCATAATGAAATGAAAGATAAGAAAACCGATGTAATTTATAAAGGAAATGAAGTTCATGTTAATAAACGATCTGTTGAATCTAATACACAACAAAATAACAACAAATATGATTCTACGATCGAAAAACAAAATCAGGATTTTGAAATATTTGAAGAATATCCAGGCGACGAACCACCGGACGCGGTTTTGCATTTTGGAAAAAGATCTGCGGATTATGGTAAAGAAGAAAATATCAAAAGATCCGAAAATTCGTGGGATGTTAATTCTGATATGAACTTTGCGAAGCGATCAGAAGATCCATGGGGAAGCCATAACACAATGCATTTCGGGAAGAAATCCGATCCCTGGGAAAATCACAGCACACTTCATTTCGGAAAAAAATTCGATCCTTGGGAAAATCACGGTACTCTGCATTTTGGGAAAAAATCGGATCCTTGGGAAAGCCATGGAACTTTACATTTTGGTAAAAAGTCTGATGCTTGGGAAAATCACAGCACCTTGCATTTCGGAAAGAAATCAAGTCCTTTTGGGGAGCATGATACATTGCATTTTGGAAAGAGAATCAATCCATGGGAAGATCACAGCACTATGCATTTCGGCAAAAGGTCTGAAAATGGTAAATTGCCACAAAGTGAAGTTGTACTGAGCACCGGCGAGCAAAAGAAATTAAACGAAAATAAAGAAAATTATGTTTCGAATGATTTAGAACTGCCTAATCAGGCCCGAATAATAAATAAGTTGAAAGAACTAATATCTTTGCATGACATTCCACCGCAACTAAAGTCAGATACTCAAATACTCTCTTTCCTGGAAAATTCATTAGAAAAAACTAAGTTGGATGACCTCGGCAAAGACTTTCAGTTACAACCAAATTCGAATGATGTTATACAATCTTTACTAAAAGAGGAAAATTTGGATGGCCTCTCAAAAGAACGCGAGCTTTTAAAAGAATATTTCAAGCAGCTAGATCTTGATGAACCGCAGGTTAATGAAATAGTGAATCAATATATTAAAAGTAAAGAATCAGGCTCTCCTGTATTGAGCAAAGATGATCAAGACGTTAGCGAAGACAGCAGTTTACATTTTCTTTATAAATGGTTATTAGACAAGGCTGTGTCGGTGTACAAAGACGATGCTGAAGAAGATAAATTTGGAGACGTTTCTAAGGCATACCAAGAACCAAACAGCTATATAATACTTCCATACGCACCAAGACGAGAATTACTAAATGATAACGGTGTTTCGAATGGTTCTTTCAAGATGAAAAGAAAATTTGCGAGAGAACCTGAATACAAACGTTACTGGGCACCTTTCCAAGGACCCAAATCAATTGTATATCCTCATGCATGGTTTGCATCTCAGATACGAAGGTCAGTTCTTCCGACAAATATCATTGTCCCTAGAAGTTATGAGACTAGAATGACAGAGAAGAAAGAAGATCCAGTGAATTCTTTTATGCATTTCGGTAGACGTTAAATTTTTTGTTAACAACTTCAGATATCTATTCCTATAAACCAAATTTAACAAAAATATCTTTATTGCCTCAGGCAGAGCATACGTGGCATGATGTCGAACAAAATAATTAAATATATATTTCGAACAAAATTTATGATAGTGTACATTTAACTAATGACATATCAATAAATACCAACGACAAGGTTTCTTTCTTCATTTTTTAATATTGTTTTTTTTCTCTTTATTTAATGATATGTTAGGAATATTATATAGCTTTCTAATTTTGTTTTGTTTCTACTCAGTCTCAATTAAGTAAAACTAACCTTTTAATGTCTTTGCTCAAAGAGTAATAATGTTAAAAGTGAATGTTAATGAAGAAGACAAACGTATGGTTTTTCAGTGAGACAAATATACAATCAATTAATCATCTTTTATTTGTATGTAATGCTCACTAAAAACATTGCAGGCCAGAAACATGATCTTCTACATAATTATATATGTTAAACACTATCATAAATATTGCAATATTAGGTTTAAAAGTTAACAGTTATCTTATATTCGTTTTCCGAAACAAGACTGTCGTATTTCCGATACATATATATAAGGCATATACATAGTGCTTCATTCTTTTCCATAAGAAGAGAAGCGGCATGTGTTTCAGAAGGCAGCCTTTCCACAACAGTATCTTATTTTTTTTTAAGGAATCTTTGGGGGGGGGGACTATACACGAGAAATCTGTCATGTTTAGTGGCTGATAGCGAAATAAAATAGTCTTTTCATCAATACAAACAACATACATAAAAATGCATATTAAAAGGGGAGAATGTTTTTTAAATGAATACGGTATAAGAGTGCTATTTTAATTCAGGAATTCAAAAATTATTTGTAGGATTTCTACAAATGGAAGAATAAGAATTCTGTAGTATAATAATTTTAAAAGCCTAAAAAAGTCTTAGGTGCTCATTTTTATAACACTGCGAAATAAAATTATTCAGTATTCAGATTGTAAGTTATTATTCTTTGGATCATTTAAATGTATGTGATTTTTAATATTTTTTTAATAATTTTAACATCTTTTAGCTGTTTTTCTTTCTTTTAACAAATTCTCGTTTGTTACGCGAGATTTACAGTTGAAAGCTATTCGCCAAATTATGTTTAAAGATACCTCAGTAATATAAAATAAATAAATGTAATAATAAATTAATTAATTAATTAATTAAAAATAATGTGATGAAAAGCTTTTAATTTTTGCTGTAGTTTTTCCAGTAAACCAGTTTTTTCCAATGAACCAGTTTAATTTAAAATATAAATTAACCGCTATTTCAATGTTTTTCTTTTGAGCTTCCAAATAAATTATTAAAATTTTGGAGCTGTCTTCTACTGAACAGCAAGCAAAGGAATATTTTCAAAATTACGGACTGGTAACACTGGTTCGGGCCCACCAGCGGCCGAGCGGTAAAGTCGCTGAACACTGGTAGTTCGGTCCGAGATTCGAATCCCGCGAACGGGCTGGCTGCATGGGCGTTTTCGTGGTTTTCCCCATGTGTAACGTGTATACGAGCCAGTTTTCCTTAAAACGTCCTCCACGAAGGCATCCCTCCTCTTAGGCAGATAGCCCTCGAGGCTTTGCAATAATCACATACAGTAACACTGGTTCGCTTAGTCAAACATTAGAAGACTCGGGTTCAACATGATAGCGCACTAAAAAACACTGAGAAACCGCGTAATAACTTAGATTCGAATTTAAAAGAATTTATGTTGCGAATAATTCATAAAGAAAATGACTGTTTTATTGCTATTTCATGATTCATTAGAGAATTTTTGTCGCCAAAACAACAGGCACAGGTTTTTAACGAATATGTTTAACACATAATCACAAAGCTTGAACTCATATTTATTTATGTTTTATATACGCTATCGGAAGCGTATATGGGAAGAAGAAGAAATGGTACCACATCAAAGGGTACTTTCTGATTATCTGCATCTAGTGACATAGCCAAGGAGGGGGGGGGGCAAAAGGGAACATCTGTCCTCTCGCACAGCATCCATGGGGCGCTCAACTGATGTTTCTCATTGCATTTTCGCAAACACGGGAGGAAGGGCTGCCAGAAACCTTAGGTAGCAACTCGTGTTTCGAAAAGTCATCAACTGTTGGCGACTAATTTTTGACAAACTAATACGCAAAAGACAGCAGGCATTTTCAAAATGGCAGCGCACTAAGAATGACATAAGAAAGCAACCAATTAATAAAACTAAAAAAGCAAGAAATAGCCATAATAAAACACTTACTTTTTTGCACTGTTCTCCCCCTGTATACAGGGGTTAAAAACATAAGAGAACTGCACTAACTCGGCATTGCGTACAACTTGATTGCACATGCTGCCGTTCTCCCCATGTACACAGCGATATATTTCGCTTAAAAATGCATAAAAAAATTCCACAAATTCGGAACTGCCCATTTTCCTAGTCACCCAAGAATAGTTGACATACTAGTCTCGAACTGCACAGTTTCTATAATCATGTAACATTGAAGATATACAATACTTAGGCCCCATTTGGCATTTTATAGCTTTAATAACAATAATAATACGAAGCAGCCCATTGTAAGAAAAATATTCATGTGAGATGACAAGAAATATTATTTGGACAGTATCTGTGTTTGGACATTATTACATTATGCTCTATAATTAACTAAAATTGGAAAATTCTTGTTTTGATATGGCAGGATTTTAATTTACTCTTTTTTATTAATTATTTTTTATTAAGTGAATGAAACCACTTTACAATATCTTTTATAAAATCCTTTACTTAGAGATACCCGGACCATCTAAGCAAAGTATCCACTTTTGCATAATACCTCTGTTCAAAAAAACTATCTTCTTGCATGACAACAATGCAGTTTTATGCTGGTCACATAAACAACTGCAGCAGAGATTACCTATACAAAGAAAAGCTAATTTATGTACTTTTATTTATATAATTTATTTTAAAGGTATATTATGAGAATGATCTATAACTCAGCATTTCAAATCTTTTAGAAATCCAATTTCTTAATTTTTTTTTAATTTAAGGAATGCATAATTATTGCACAATGAGTTTCCTCAGATATTTACTCTTGCACCACATAATTAGTTTGGATTTTATACCTAATGTTCTGAGCATATATATTTTAGAAAACCAGCAGTCAGTGATAAAAACATTTTATAATACAAGACAAATTAGAACACCATTTCAACGCTGTTTGTGTAAATATGGGTAATCACATATAGCATTTTTAGGACAATACTTGCCCAATTTTTCTCTTGTCAAGGTACCATTAATTGCTCAGTGACTGTAAACTTATACTGCGATATGAATATATAGAGGCTGACATTATTAATGCAGGCTACATTTCACACTAGCATTTATGTTTGGCAATGGCTGCCCGTTAACGGAAAAGTGTCAGAAATATTATTGGTTATTTTCTAATACAACTGCGTAATTTTTTTATATCATAGAAAGTATAATATTAATTAATAAAAACGTTTCTGTAGATTCTTTGGCATATCTACATGTAAGTATCTTAAAATACAATAAGCAAAATTCATTGACTGCTTGTATATTCGTAGAAAATCAGAACTTTTTAGTATTTATTTACTAAAAATTACTAATAATAACAAAAAATTAATATATATATATATATATATATACTAGTTTTAAAAAAAAAATTCATGGCAATTGTAAAAGCCAAAGCTTTTCAAGGAAATGAATATGAAACATCTAAAATATATTTATTCATCAAAAACAACTTCATACATTACAATAAAAGATTTAATTTGCATTAAGATCACAAATTTGAAAACATTATTCACTGAACAGAAAGACGTGTGTGCGAAATAAAGAACTAATAACATGATCAATTAGTATTTCTAAACATTGTTTTATGTTCAGTATATTGTCTAGTGCAACACAGCATTGCTTGTAATGGTAAAACAATAAAATGTTACCCCCTTATAACACTGCACTTAATAATTTTTAAAATCATGGTTATAAAATTGAATATTCCCTGATAACTAAAACAAACCAAATTTAATATACAGAATAATAACTGAAAATCATTGTAACATATCTGAGTGTGTGCATGTGAGAATATATGTGTAAAACCCATATTATTATTAGCTTATTACATAAATTAACACAAATATAATTTGTTTCTAAATGATTCAAATATTACAAAGTCTATTGCAATATAATAAATTGATCTCCATAATCTACAATTTAAAAACTATCAAAGACTTAAAAAACATTTGCATTGACTTAAACTTCAACTGCAATTCCAAGTATCACACTTTACCTAGCAATTATTTTATTATCAAGATAAAGCCATATCTATTTTATCTCCTTTTTTTATTAAACACAGATTATATATTTGTTAATAATTTCTATGATTAACAATTATATAATCCACATGTATTTGGATAGCATATTTAAAAATAATTTAATTTTATTAATGGTCTAACTTACAATAGTGAATAATTCATTCATAACTCAGATGAGCTGGCTGCATTAGTTAAAAATAAACTACTCTATGTACCAGTTAAAGGTTAACAAATTACTAAAATGGCAAAGGAAAAATTTCTAATTATTTAAGAGATAAAACTTATATTTTAATAAAGAGAATATTCAATCAGGGAATGAATGAATATAATGTTTACTTGTCAAGAACAGATCAAATGCAAGATGGTTTTATTGACTATAAATTAATTAATGGAAGTCAAAATAGTTAGTTGCATCATAATATATATATATATAATGTAATGCTATATTGCACATAGAACAATTTAACAGAAATATATATACAAGCTTACAATACTGTACGTATTCATGACACATTTCATTGACTAGAATAAATTCACATTTAAAATGGCAACAAATAAAATTTTTCACATTATACTACAGTTTCAATGCTTAAATTTTATTAGGAATACAGATAACCAATTACAGTTTACTGGAATGCAAAAAAACTTCTTAACTATTTTGTAGACTATAATTTTCCTTCTTGAAAGGTTAAATGAATTACTAATAATTTACCCAGAAGGGCAATAATGTATTACACAAAATACTTACATTTGTTGCGGTATGATTCACATAAAATATTAACTTCTTTCATTTGGTTAGAATAATATGTTAATAACATTTTATAAAAAATCACTTTTTCAATCAAATAAATTACCAAAATATTTGAAAGAGAATTACAAAAAAATTATGCTATTACTTTTCATAATAATTGGCATAAACTATGCACATATAAAATATATCAGAAAATCAAATATATAAAATTGTAAATATAGTTAATTACACAGATATAAAACATGCAAACAGGACAGCATTTTTAAATTATTGCTAACATTATTTGCAATATGCATGGTTCAGATACAAAACTATACTTTTGTCTCTCAAAAGAAAAATATCATGAATTATTTAGAAACCCAAATTCCATTGTTCTTATAGTATATTAAAAGAATACAATAAATGCAAAAATTATTTTCCATAAAATAACAAAATTCATTCAAGAATTAAAAGGAATGAACGAGATGAGAAATATATAAATATAGCAAAAACCAATAACACATCACAGTGCCATAGAGAGAATCTGTAGATCATGGTAGTGATTGTGGTGCAGGCTCTTAGGATAGTAATATAAGAAAAACTAAATGAGTCATTACTTCATTAAAAATAATGCATATTTGCTTAAAATTTTTAAAAGTGCTATTTTAACAAATAAAAGAAAAAATAAATTAAGATTAAAAGCTCCATAACTCAGCACATTTCACTAGAAAAACAAATTTTACTGTGCAAAACATTTTTGCTAATTATTTTAACTCAGTCTTTCAGTTTTTTTACTTCTCAGTTATTTTAATTTGTGAACTTTATCTATAAAAAAGGAATAGGTGCCTGTTTGTCATGCCATGTTTCTTGAAATCTTATTTCAAAAAACGAGGCTACCCTCAAAGCAAGCATTTTCAAAGTTCCAGGCCTCAGTAATTTGTACTAGACCCCCCTCTACAGCATTGGTTATCAGTATATTTTGAATGAACATTTAAAATGAACCAGCAGTGTAATTAGAAAACACACAAATAAAATATTCAAAAAGGCTTTTATTTATGAACTTATCTTCACTAAAGAAATTAATTTGTTATATCAACTAATAAACAGCTTCAAATTAGTAACAAGTATGAACAAAAGAAACTAGTAATAGTCTGATATTGCAGTGCCTAACGATTTCACTATTTTTTCACAGCTTGAATGACTGATAGATAACAGTAATGAAGGAATACATCAATATACTGCTTTACATATATTAATATACGGTGAAAACAAACTATACATTGTACTGCAGAAGTAATCTTACATAAAGATATATGTTTTGGAGAAGCAGTAAAGTACGAAAATATGGAAAGAAGAAACAATATTTCATGAATCTAAAACCTCTATTACTTATGATTAATTCATGTTGGGACAATACAGGTTAATGAATAATAAAACCAGAATAAAATAAAATAAAAGATTTATAAAAACAAGATAGGAATAAAACATTGCTTAAAAATGAGATCTTTAACTGTATACATTTTTTGAAACAACCGAATACCTTTGTAAAAGCAGAAATTTAAATTAATATCATTCATACTTTGAGCATTTGAAAAACATATGACATCCCACTCTATAGATCATTTAAATTCTATACAAAAGGTAAATTATTTAATAGTCACTAATAAAAACTAGATCAATAACTAGCATACCATAAAACAATTTATTAGAATATTACCTCAGAATATGACATAGATTTAAGATAAATGACACAAAAAGTGCACATACAACTAGTTATACGAGTAATTAGACAAAATTAGCAAGGAACACATCTAATTCCTGTTATTTTTGTGTAAATTAAACTGATTTTTCCCTGACTGATAATAAATAAGAAAAATTCTTAAAAGTGCATAAAAATGTAACAAAAACATATGGTTTTTTTTTTTCAAAATTACTTTAGTACATTGCATAAGTAATTAAAACGATATAAATGCTACTTGTATACCAATCAGAAGAGTTAGAAAATAAACCCATTTATTAAATACATTACACTAAAACCGAACAGGAATTTCATTTTAAAGAAATATTTTTACACATATAATTTGAATGGATTTCATATAATAATTTTGTACATCTATATCTTACAATTCAAAAGAAGTTAAATCTTGAAGAGTATTTTGAGTCTTAAGCTAAATTAATAAGTTGATTACTTAAAATAACATTTTTGAAAATCAATCTAAACTGAGAAATGGCCTGAAAATACAATAAAAATTTTCACATGTACATATATACATATCAAATCGTATTTTCTGATATAAAACACACATGAAATGTTAATTTTCAAAATATATGTTTTGATATTTTGAAAAAACTGTTTATGCAAAACTAAATTTTTTTCACATATGATAGGATAACTGGTATAACATCAGATTTTCAACACTGCAAATATACTGCCAATATACAAACAACAAAGAGGAATACAAAATCTTAAAAGGAATTCTGACAGATTACACTTGTATATTATTTTCTAGATTTCAGAAAGACTCTATTTAAAGATGTAAATATAATATAGCTTACAATAAATAATATTCACATCATCAAAAAAAGAAAAATACATATAAAAAAAGACTAATATTATAATACAGACAACATGAAATTAGATTATATTAATATAACAGCATGAAATTAGATTATATTAGCATAACAATCAAAACTCTATGTTCTTATATTGCAGTATTACTAAACGTTATATAACAAAGTACCTAACCTACCATGAAAAAGTGATAGAATAAAGTCTTCTTTCACACTTCTTGCAATTATTTAAAGAGGAACGTTATATCACCAAACATATACCATTAAAAGTAAAAATATTTTTATTGATTTAATTCATCAATAACTACTATTTTAACAATAGTATGTTCTCTTTATTCATAACAACATTATTTATGTTGAACTACTGTCCACATACTTTGTGTGAAATCAGGTTTATTCAGCGTGCCAAAGCTGAAGTATCCAATACTGCAGAATTTAAGGGCTGCAAACTTTAAGAAATTAGGGAGATAATGAATGTCAGAATTTAAGAGTTGTCTAACACTGGGCATTGAAAAGCCTAGTGCAGGCTCCATGTTTGTTTTGATCACAACTTTAGAATTCCCTGCAACCAAAGGGATTAATTCTGAAAACATTTCTGTAAAACTATTTCCCAAACTTGTTATACTTGCTCTCAAAATTAATCTTTAGATATAATCGTGGATTTTTCAAACATATGACTTACAAAATCCCACATTTATTTACTATAACTGAGATACAAGCTCTGTGTAAACAGTGCAAGGTCTGTTTATGCCAACTGCTGCTTTTCTCTTTTTTCCTCCCCCCCCCCACACAGAATTTTTACAGAGTTCAAAGGTAAGCTTCGAGATTATCTTATTGATAACAAAATCTTCAATAACAGCTGAAACTCAATCAATACTACATGATACATTACAATCCAATACGCTAAAATCCACTTGATACAGCATGAAAGATAACAATTTGAAGATAAATTTGCCTTACTATATGCATATTAACTGTATGCATGTTTTCAAATTTGCAGAGATTTTTAGTTTCTTCAGCACTAAAGTGGCCCAAACAAGACCAGTACAATTTTTGTGTTCCATTGCGAGGTGCTTATTTGACTGCACCTTATGCTCTCAACAAGCTTACTTGACTGTGTTATGCACATGGCCTTTGTCTAATATTGCATCCATTTTGTAACAAAAACTCCAGGTTTAGATTCATTTATCCACTGTTCAGCTGTCCAATCTTTAGATACTATGTAAGACAAAAATTTTAATAAAGCAGACAGCTTTATTTATTTTTGCTTGCAAAGTACTTGTTGGTTAGTATAAATTCTTCCACACATATGTTTTAAAACAGATAATTTATAGACTTTCCATTCCAGGAAAAGATCTGTTGACCATTTGCATAATTTTGCAATCATTCCCTAACCTCTGAATTTATTTAATCAAATAAATCTGACATCAATGCTAGTAAATCTTCTTGGACATTATTTTCTTTATCTTTTTTGAAAGTATCAGTTCCTTCTTCTTCGACCAGAGCACATCTTACAGTATTTGGCGAGCACTTTATGTCTCTATAACTTTTCACATAATAACACTTGCAGCTACTGGCCATTTCCATCTGAAAACGAATCTTTTACTTCACTATATTTACTTTCCCTCATGCTCCAAGGCAAGTGTAAAAAAGTAAATAGCAACATGTGAAAGTTCTTTTTCTCCTCCCTGCACTGATTGAAGAGGTGAACTTGAAACAGCCAGAAGAGGAATAAAGTGTCAATTTTGGAAACAATAGAAGAGGAATTCACATGTGTTGATTCCATATTTAGCAAATTATTAGAATTACATTAGTTCTAAGACAAACCAGTATTTAAAGATTATTGTTCAATTTTAATAAAATCCCATAAAATACAAGCTGTCTGACTATTTTACATAGAAATTTTAACCATTTACAGAACTCTTTAGCAAGCATTTCTCAAGACTTTTATTCATTTTCTTATCTCAACAATGTCCTTCAAACTTATTTGAGAAAACTGTACTACTTAAAGATCTTGCATCTTAAAAATCTTGCAACTACCAAAACATTATTCTTTGACACAAAAATATAAAGAAAAATACTGAATGTTTTTAATTCTAATCAAATGTCTAAGCATAAAATATATAAAAAATGTGCCATTTTCAATAAATCAAACTGCAAAATATCTGTGATTCAAAAAGTGACATGCTAGCATGAACTTAAATTCTCTAGAGAAATAAAATACTTATCTTTCTTATATATTTTGTCAATGATAATGTTTGCATAAAAATGGAATAAATATCAAGATGCATATACAATATGCTAATACAATGATTATAGTTTAAGGGCTGAAAGAGCAGGAGGGAAGACATTGTTCTACTACTTTTGCATAATATTGTAGATGTCAGACAGTTTATTCTATAAATCAATACAAAAAAAAAAAAAAAAAAAAAAAAAAAAGTTCAAACAGCTACTTAGATAATATTACACATTAACACTAAAAGTTCTTTGAAATGACTTACATGCACTGTTTCAAAAATAAAGAAATGACTAGCAAAAACCACACTTGATCATAAGAGATGTACTAGACACTGAATGGCATTTGATTATACCCATAAATTTTTGCGTGTTTTATTTTGTATATATATATATATAATGGATTATTCAATCTTTCTTACACTATCTATAACTGAAAGGTCCTTACAAAATACAATGTTATATATCCATTATGTTACCCTAATGTGCATTATTAGGAACAGAAACTTAAGAAAAATTAAGCCTTTGGCTCGGATTAAATTTGCAAAACACATAAGCTCAAACGCAGTTTCTATGGTGAAATTTTGCTAACAATTCACTACCATGTAAAGCATTTTGTTTCAAATCTTTAATACCTTAAAGAGTAACAAATTACTATAAAATAATTTGTAAAAATCAACTCTCATTTTTATCTGGAGTATGAAACTTATATAGAAATAATTTTTAAAAAAATTACATTTAACTTTCCAGGAGAAAAAATATGATGATAAGAACATGCTGCCAATCTATAAACAATTCACATATTTTCAGAATATTATGATAATAAGCAAAGAAAAGATTTAGTCATATATGCAGACCAAAATATATATATATAAATATATTTGAATATTTATATCAAGGGGTTCCCAAAGTGGGGGTAATGAGACAATTTTGAGAAGGTCACAAAAGGTTTTGAAATTTTTTTTCAGCAAATAACTATGAATATTTAGGTATCATTATTAATTTATAAATTAAATATGAATAATTACATGCATATTTAAGTGTTATTATTCATTATTTTCCTCTAAGACTCTTTTCTTAGCCTCTTCTTCCCCCCCCCAGAATAACTATATGCATGTAGGTTACAATAACTTGCATCTGCATATATCAGGGATCTAAAGCAAAGCACTGCAGCAAACAAAGTAGATTTCACTTAATAAAACTCATAAACAATATACATATAAAACATAACATTATAAAATTCATAATTGTACATAGATATGTATGCTACCTCCCGACCACAGGGCAAGTGGTTAAGACTACTGAATACTGGTAGATTGTTCTGGGTTTGAGCCCAGAAGAACTGACTAGCTGCACAGTTCATTTTCCCCACATACAACATGAATACGAGCAAGTTTCTCTTAGAAAGTCCTGCATAAAAATACTGCTTCCCTTAGGCAAGAAGCCCAAGTGTGATTTGCTGTATTCCTGCCTATCTTGACTGCACATTCTTGACACACATACAAGCATACTATGTTCTTAGCACCACGTTTATTGTTAAACACTACCCAGAAAACATACTGACATGGCAATCAGTATACATCTACAACATGCAGCTTCCATAATTGATTAATCTGGGTTTCATGTAACATAAACATTGATTAAATTAATCAGAGCTTTGTATTATATTTTCTGGCCTTAAATCTACTTAACAGTAAAATTATTCACTTCAATATTACTTTTAATAATTTTTCCATATGTATTTTAACTATTTCGAATTTAACAGACTCAAAAATTTGCTTTAAAGCTAAAAATGCAGTTTCTTTGAATTATATAAATTTTGGTACAGACTTTGTGCATATATAACACACATACAAGCACACATTTTTCATTTTTGTACATACATATATATAGAGAGACAGAAAATATGCACACAGTGTGTGTGTGTAATATATATATAATATTACCTGCAGCCTCTTATAATTGTTGCATAATTCCCTTATTGCAATTAATTTGTCTCTCATTTGACAAACTGTAAGAATATTTCAACATACGAGTAGAAAGGAAATCTGATCAATCACTAATTTTTCTCAATTTACAAATTCAAATATTATATAATAAGGAGAGAGAAAAAGATCATTTTTAGTAAAAGCAGAAACCTTTCAACTTTCTAAACTAGCATTTCTCAAACTATGCATAGTGAAAACTTAGCTCAACTGTACACTTTCAGATGGTTAAAAGTAATACATACATCAGACACTAGAGCTGTAAGTTTTCATGTATTTTGGATTCATAGTCTCTTTATTTACCTTTTTATATTTTGATTTTGACACAACTGATTTATTTGCTGCATTGGATTTTCTTATAAAAACAAAATATGTTCTTTTTCTTTAGATGATTGTTACATTTTTCTTAAATTCAATACTTTAATTCATATTTATTACTTCAGGATTACATGAAATAAATGGAAATAAAATGATGCAGCACAGAAGTTAATTCTGTATGATAAATAAAACAATAAAGAATTATAAGTATACTTGGTATGGATGTGCAAAAAACATTGTACAATTTTATACAAATATTTATCTGGTATTATTATTAGATTATGCATAAATTATCATTTAATTAGTTTAATTATTACTCGGTATTATTTTACTGTTATCAACATATAAAGCAATCTTCACAATAGGAAAAAAATAAGAGCAGGATGGAAGCTCAATACAACAGCAAAGATTAAGACAGAAATATAGATTGTAGAGATAGCACAGATTATGATAAAATCTTTTATCAGTTATCTCCACTTACTTTTTGCTAAGCTTTACTACAAGGAATTAGAAACACTTGTCACAAAGAATACTATATTACACAGATAAAATGCTGCAAAACCTTGCACTTACTCAACAGCTTACTAATAGTATTCATTACTGTTTGCTTCTTACACACACACATGCATACAACACCAACAAAAAAATACAAAAAGGGGGAGAAAAATTGCAAATTGAACAGAAAATTAAAAATATTAATGCTTAAAGAGAATATCAGTTTACAACTACAGCATTAAATATGTATAATAAAAATGACACTTTCTAAATAAGTTTGGAGATTCATTTTAAAAATTTTATTCCTTTTGAACCATGAAATATTGAAAATTTATTGCAATAGCGGCCTTTCGAGCACCATAAATGAGTTCTCATTTGTTTATTTAACTTTCTTATTCACTAAAACAGTTATTCAAGATAAAAACAATATCTTCTGTAATTAATGCTAGTCATAGTAAAACATGGAAAGCTTACTCACATATGCAAACTGCTTTTCCTATTAAAAATATAGCTCAAATATTATCAAGATAAAAAGATTAAAATTTTATGAATAAATTATTGGAACCATACATGCAAAATTTACAAATATTAAACTGAAAAATAATTCCAATATTTCATATGTGATCTTTTAATATTAAGAAAATTACACATCTTTTAACTAAAATCAAACATGATATGATACTAAATGTTTAGATCATCAGGATGAAAAATAAAATTATCAGAAGCATTCTATACAAACTTGGGAACACAATCCATTTTGCAGTTTGGCAGAATAACTTGTTCTAATTACCACTTAGATACATAAAATAATCTAATCCAAAAAGGAACAATAAATGGTCATCTTCAAAATACTGCATATAATATATATATCAAAATACAAAACGTACATGTGATATAAATAACAACAATAATATAATTTATCATAAATTCTCTAAACAGTATTGGCACAATTAATAATAGTCTACCATATATTATTTTCTTTGTTCATAATACTATATGGAATAAAGAAATTAAAATCTATGCACAGTAAAAAAAGAAGTAAAATTTGAATTGAGTTAAAACAAGAAATTTAAAATGAAATAAAATATTATAATACAATAAAAATGCAACAATTTGTAATTTTTATACAAAAATGCAAACCTCTAGCCTGAAAATGAGAATAATAAAAAAGGCAGGTTCAAGTTCATGCTAATAATATAGTATGTTTAATCGAACTTACAGAATTACCTGCAAAATGCAAAAACAATTTTCTACTAAAACCCTTTTCTTATAAACATATTTCCCTACTATTTAATAAAAATATTAATAACAAATAATAATAAAAGAATACATTAAAAACAAGCAGAGATAATCTTAGTCAACATCCAACAGAAATGCAGATGCATACACAACTGGTTACCTTAGTTAAATATTCAGTGATGATTAATGTATTTGTCCTATAAAAAGTTAGTTTGTACTTTTTAAAGACAAGAAAATAAATTTTGCATTTTTATTTCATTTCTATGAATTACTTAAACAACTGCATTTAATTAAAATGATAATCCAAAACAATATCTTTTGGCTTTCAACTACATCTTTGGTTTCTTAAAAAATTACAGCACATTTATAATGTCTCAAGTGTAGAATCTTGACCACCATACGGACAAGAATGATCTCCATGACCTCCTGAGCAATCAATAACCGGCACATGCCCACTATCCCACATACCAGGTCCACATAGCTCACATAATTTTGATAAAGTACATGGTATTCTAGGTAACAATCGAAATTGATGCAGAAGACCTCTTGCCTGTAAGTGGAAAAACTAATGGTGAATACAAGTTCTCATCAGTATGAAAGAAAAACTAAAAATCAATGTAAATTATTTACAACAAAATCATTGATCAAAAGCATGTGCTGATGCATAAATAAAATTTTACTTTTTTCACTTCCTTAAAAATTGTTTCTTTACATTACAAGTTACTATTTCAAATTAAGGATAAAAGTTTCTTTTAAGTATTTTAAATATTGACTTTTAAATTAAAATAAGAATTAAAAATTGATCTAAAATTGACACAACTCACTATTATATAGTAATATTAACATTTACTCAATATCTGATTTTAATACCCCTACCATACGCCCTAGTTTCTCGATGCATAATACTTAAAATAGCTATGACAAATATTTCCTGTCACGAAATCAACAAAGCATTGCCAATGTTTTCAATGTATCTTTAAAAGAATAATAAGCATAGATTCGTAACTACAACTGAGTTAAGTAGTTCTTGATAATATTTTGATACTTTTCAATGGCCTTAAAGGTCAGATTACAACAGGGGCTTTTGCTAAAGAGAATGATGCTTTCATGAAGGGCTCAGAAGAACTGGCTCACATTCCAATTTTTTCATGCGAAAAACCATGAAAAAGAGCATACAAGCTAGTTCATTCACCAGGACCTGAACCAAAATGTTTAATGTTAAAGTATATAAAGATAATATGTTTTTCGTATTTGTTGATTTTGCTAGGTCTGTTTGTAAGACTAAATCTAAGATGTTTCTTTTTTGTATTACTTTAAATTATATTTATTTATCGATATATTAAGGGATAAAAAATTAATCAGCATCAACACTTTAGAATTTCATATCCTTCCATAAGAATTGCACAGTTCTTAAACACAGCAGTCATACACTTCTAATTAAAAATTATGAGATTTCCCAAGACAGCAATCTGGCTTTCATCCATTGACTTATCATTAAGCTACTACTATAGTCTGTTACTTAAAAATAGACACTTCAAAGTCATTCTTGTCCCAACTATAACTTATAACCATAGCAATGATTGCTGTAGAAAAAGGTCGAGTTCTGTTATTTACTAAAACTCCCTAATTCTCTTTTTGTGGTGAAGATGATACACATTATGATCATAAATAAGGGGACAGTTTCTACGACCTTGAAGTGCCTTTTTTAAATAGCAGAGTATAGGAACTTCATTGTCACTTATTCTGACCATTTACCTCTCATGGACTCAACCCACAAAATATCACAACACAGCATACTCTCAATACTTCAGATTTACAAAATCATACTAAAACTACATATCCATCCTGAAGTACACAACCCATGAGTGCTTTGTCATACAAGAAACTTAATTAACTCATAAGCAACAGAATATGTCACAGAAAATGTTTAGAGTACATCAAGCATTTAATGATAACAAAATGATGAGTTATTAATACATTTAAGCAGCCTATTTTTTTTTCACATCTTAAATGAGCACGTTAGATTCAAACAGAAAAAACTCTTGATAAACCTCATATTTAATACACTGAAATAACTTCAAGTTTAATTTCAGTTTCACAGCTGCTTTTTTTATGTTTTCAATTTTAAAATAAACAATGGAAATATATTAATATGCTACAAAAAACATGATTTAAAAAAGGGAAATGAATACCTTTCTTAAAACAAGATCCCCATTCATATGCATAGCTAGACTACTGAAATGCACCATCATCTCATCAGCTCTAAGAGATTGTGCGATAACATCATCACCATAAATTGAAATTATGGCACTACAAATGAAAAGATGAAAATAATCTGTTTGGTAATGAGCCCAACATGCTTCCCACATTTTCATAGCTTCGGCCTCTGGAAATTCTCTTTTAAAGCATAAAAGGATCCACCGATGAACGAAAAGTAAATCCAGAGCATCAGCAGATCTCAAGTGAAGATAAAATTTGTTGTTCATTATTCGAAATAACTCCCTCAAGTAATTCTAGAAGATAATAAAAATATAAAAGACCTTTTAGTGTAAACATACTCATGTATAATATATTCCTTACATTTCAAAATCACAGCTAAATTTTCCTCATATAAAAAAATATATACAATTGTATTTACTTCAGTCTTAAAAAAGGGCAAAACAGTTATTAAATATAGAAAAAAGATGCAACAATACTAAATTTCTTATTTCTACTTTGAGAGGTGAGTGATAACATTTTACTCAGTACTTAAAACAACAAGTAAAATTAAGCTCTACATAATATTGGAAGATAGAGAAGTTTATGGATTGTAATGATGATTGAAAAATATCTGGTAAAAATGTAAAGGCAGATGGAAGGGATTAAAATGAGCAGATTTTGTTATGGAATTGGCGTGCAGAAATGGAACTTTTAGGTAGTAAATGGAGCACTAAGTCAAATCGGTCTGTTGGCTAGCTCAAAATTCCCAGTCCAGATTTCTAACACTATTTAGCATTGCACATGCATTTTATCTATGGGGCTTTGGATGAAAATGCAGCAAATGCTTAAAAAAAGTAGGTACTCAGGCATTCCCTGTACCTTCTTTGAGCAATCGCTATGTTTCTATCCACAAAGCATGTCATTGAGTTCAATGTTCAGTTAGCAATGTATATTATTTGAAAACTGTACATGAAACAAAGATTTATGCCAGCAGACCATTTTTATGTAACACATAGCAGGACTACCTCAACATGCCATTTCCACACACACATACACTTCATTACAAAATTTGCTTAATTCTGTCTCATCTACCTGCCTTTACATTTCTGTGAGACATTCTATATTAAATACGAAAGCATTCTTTTATGTAGTGCAGCAAAAAAAAATTTGTTTTATAGTTCTCTTACACTAAATTGGTTTTTAGTGGAATTTAAAAAAAAAAATTCAAATACAGATATCAGCACACATTTTCTTGAGACAATTTGCTTTTCATAAAAATAAGTTTGAGGACTTTTCAAACACTACTTATGGAAGTCTCAAGAATCTTATAACTATATATGAAAATTAATCATGGAATTAGAAGAAACTACTAATATATATACTTTTGCATGTTTTAATATTACGCTTACATTATTTAATTTGCACGAAATCTCAAACTTGTTTAATGTGGTAAACTAAACACATATTATAGATGCCTCCAGATTTTTCAGCTAATCCATAAAGAGGATTTTCAAATATTTTTTTTTAATTTAAAGCATTTATAATTGCTTCATCACTTCTTTTTAAAACAGCTGAGTTTTTTTTTTTTTCTATTTAACATAATAACATAGCTTTGTGCACAAAATTATCATTTTTATAGTTTTGCATGATCTTCTGATCATTGGTGATGACAAAGAATCTCAGAAAGTTTATTAACAGAATGCTTCAATATGGTTTACAGTTGGTGGAAGAAGAAGAAAATATGCCAACAACATTCAGATAATATCCCCAAAGGATCAAACACCTTCAATCAAAACAAAGATGGAGATAGGTAGACAATATTTGTCCATTTCATCTTAATTGTATCATCTAATAGAATATATATTTTATTTACAATTAAATTGAAATTTTGTTAATTTTTATTTTAAAATATTAAAAAGAGAATTCTAGGAACTACCTACAAACAATTTTCAACTGGAAACACATATGTAGACTAGAAGTTCATATTGCATGAAATCTGGGGTCCTGTGAACTTTAATACACTACACGTGTATTAAAGCATTTAAATACATATTATATAATCTGATAGATATCTCAAATGATATTTTTATTTATTTATTTGAAATGTGCTTTTGATTGCTCAGTTATTAATTGCACTATATTTTGTGAAGAATTAATTACAGTATGGGTTTACTGACACTTATACAGTATTTTCTAAATTTATGATTTCAGAATTAGATGATGAAGAATATATAACACTCAATACGTGATAACTTACCAAATTGACATCCATGTCAAAGTCTTTAGGGCAGGTAACAAAAATAGTTCTTTGCATTAAACCAACAAAACACCAAAATGCTTCAGATTCATCTTGCACAGCAACAAGAATTGGAGCTAACAAATCAGACATTCCTTGTGTATATCCAATTTTTGGATTATAAAAACCATAATTTAGCAAAATGTTTCTGGAAGAAAAAGTTCAAATTATGTAATTATAAGATAACAACATCTATTCAATAATCAGTACATAAAAAGAGCTTTTTCAAAAATTTTGGTTAAAGGACAATAATAATATGTAATAATTTATGAAACATAATTTAAAGTGATTTATTTTTACTGTATCAAACATGGGTTAAACAAAATATATTTTGAAGCTAGCTGAGAACAAATGTATATTTTAATGTGAAATTGCAATAGAATAAGCAAAATATTTGAAAATATTCATAGAGCTTCTAATGTGATATTTCCTGATAAAAACTTTTGCTGATAAAAAAGATGCAACAAACATGAATATATAGCTATACTTTATTATTATTAATGACAAGATAACCGTTGGAACTTAATTACACATATGTCATTTCAGTGCAGCAGTCACTGAAGAAGTAGAAGAACATGCTCAGAAGTTTGCTTTTGCAGTTTATGTATAAACTGCAGTTTTAAGTTGGAAAATATGCCCAGGATATAGAACTCATCGAGTACTTCATCGCAATGTAAAAAGCTTGATGATAACAAGAAGAACATAAGATGGAAATATTTTAAAATATTAAATTTTCAAGTTTAAAAGATTTTGGAATTTTAATAGCATCAATAATGTATTACAAGACATAATCTAGGTAAAACTTTTTTATATCTTATTGCATAAAGGCAATTAAAACGATCAGTGTTTTGTTTTCTTTTAATTTTGATAAAAGTTTTATGAAACTGAACTACTGAAACCTGATTGAGCACATAAAAGTAAATAAGAATCAACATAAATTATACATTTTAGAGAATTATTGTTGACTTCTGCTATAGTTCTATATTGAATAAGATAAAGCATAAGAAATACAGAGAAATCAGCACTGGTCAACGACGATTTTATTAAATACATAAGCCTATTGCATAGCCAGCAGTCTAAAATAATTTTTATAAGCAAATATATATATATGTATGTAATATATAACAAAATACGATGGCTGCTTTAAAAAATAATTGGCAATCTCAAAATTAACATTCTAAATTTGGTGCTTCCTCCCCCCCCTCCTAAATTCATCTGTTCTCTAAAATTCGAGATCATTCCAAATTATATAACACCACTTGAAAAAAGTAACTAAAACTAATATTGACCAAATCATAGCTTAGAATACTCTTTGCACCTACGAAGTATAAATACTGAGTCATGAGCACTACCCTTCCCTTTTTCCTAACTTCTGCCATGCAAACAACTCAGTGCCACTTAAGCTTCCCTGTCTGAAATGACGTCCTAGCTTTCTATCTGTGTATGTAAAAATTATTTATATTCAACTATAATCAAAAAGTAATTTGTCTGCCAAAGAGATAATTTTTATGTGCCTAAAAATAAAGGTGGTAATTCGCCAAAATTAGTTTTGTCAACATCTTATTTCTGCCTTATCCACCCAGCCATGTCTACAGCCAAAAGTTAAAAGTACCACATTCATGACTGTGCACTTAGTATATTTCATATATATAATGATTTTAACAAACATAGCTAATGTAATTTCATGAGTCCAGTTAATAATTAATACTAACTGACTCATGAAATTAATACAGTTAGTAATTAATACTAACTGAAATGAACCCAAATTTAATATTTTTTAATTGCTCAGCTTGCTTATTAATAACATAATAAATTCGAAAGAAAAAATACTTTGCCATATGGTAACAAACTAACACATGGAGTATAAAAATATTTTATACTGGACAATGACAACACAATTATTTTAAATGATTCATTTTATAAAATATGAATTATCTTACACTTTGATGAGTGGCAAAAGAAAGTTTTTATATCACTGAGTTTTTGATCAAATGTTTCTTAAATTTGCACAAAATATGAAAAAAATTTAAAAAATTGAAATTCATGCCTCAAGGTGCACATTGTTTGGGTAGATGTCTTTTGTATGTTCAAAATATGGTGGCTATGAATGCCACTGTTTTTTCACAATGCAAGGAACCCACAAACAATTACAATGTAAAAATTCTTCATTGTTTCACAGTACAGATAATACTTAATAAACAAATATAATCAGATTTTTTCTGTTGCCCTACATTACTTTTTCTTCTTGGGAGGGGGGAGAAGGTGGAGATATTATGAAATTATTTTTCCTCACTTTGCAGTCACTGCTGTTGTTTTTGACATGCGATCACTTAAACATCCTGGGTGATGAAAAAGTTTAATAAAGAGAAATCTGCATAAAAATTGTCTATAAGAATCTTCTTTTCACTACCATTTAACAAATAAAAAAATTTTCAATTTTGCGGTTCAGTGAATTAAGGACTTAATATTACAAAAATAACTTTTTTTAATTTAATTAAAAATGCTCTTTAAAATATTACTTCTCATAAAAATTTCATTTTGTATGAAGAATGATCTTTATTTTTTATTTTAAAATAATATATTAAAATTTTAACTTACTTCATAACCTCAATATTAGGATTATCATCACCAGCAAAAAAAGGATGGCTTCTATCTGTACGTACAACATCTTTTTCAACAGTGCATTGAATATTTCTCCAAAATATTTCACACTCATTTGGAGACATTTGATCTCTGATTCAAGGAAGAAAATATAATCTGTTAATAAATAACAAACAACAGTAAATCTACAAAAAAATCTATTTTGCTTGATGTTAATCCTTTACCTGTGGAGTATATTTTAGGAAAATGTGTTAAAAATGGAAAATTCGTTTTTTACTCTTTCACTCTTGATAAGTGAGTTTATAACTAATATCACCCAACTTTCAAATAAATGTAGAATAAGTATTGCCATCTTCTGATAGAACAGTGAATGACATTGAATTAAGCATTTGATAAAGGAAAACAAACTCATTTCAGGCTTTGCAGAGTAGAAACAATTTTTCTCTGTGCTGAAGTCAGTTTGGGTATTCCCAGTTTAGTGCGATTGGGTTGTTCAATTGTTCAAACTGGATTTGGGCAACACTAGTAGAGGGTTAGTAACAACGAAAAGCTTGACACTTTTCTCAATACAGAGACACAGTTTGTTACATGTAAGTATGCAAACCAACTCTGCATGAATCCATTCACACTACCAATTTAGGCAAACTTAATTTTAAAAATTGTATGTACTTTTTGTTTTAAAACATTTGCAACATCTGTTAATACTAATATTACAATGCTCATCATTTATGCAAGTAAATAGAATGGAAATGTAAATGAAAACTATATAATGCAGGAAAAAGAGCTTTCAATCAGCATTTTTTAAATGTAAGATGTAAATATTTTCCTCTTAAGCTTAATTTAAAAAAAAAAAAAAAAAAATTTAACTTTTTGTTTAAAGATTCACCCCCCCCCCCAAGTTACCACTACGTCTGCCAATGGAAGATTGGTATTCTCCTGTTATCAGGACCAGATTCAGAAATGTATGTATGTACGCATGTGTACATATGTACATGCATATATGTGTATATATACACACACACATACAATCTTACTTACATATATGCACATGTATGTGAACACATACATACATTTGGCCCATCAGCGGCCGAGCGGTAAAATCGCTGAACACTGGTAGTTCGGTCCGAAGTTCGAATCCCACGAACGGGCTGGCTGCATGGGCGTTTTCGTGGTTTTCCCCATGTGTAACGTGTACACGAGCCAGTTTCCTTTAGAAAGTCCTCCACGAAGGCATCCCTCCTCTTTCGCAGATAGTTCTCGAGGCTTTGCCATAATCACACACACACACATACATACATTTTGGAATCTGGTCCAGATAACAGAAGAATACCGAAACATCAGCAAATGAATGACGAAAAGCTTTGGACTACACACGGAAAATTCCTCATTTTTAAATACATAGCAAAAACCATGAAAACCCCCATACACCCATTAACCAAGATTTGAACCCAGGCACGATAGACAGTGTTCAGTGGTCTTATTTCCTGGACCACTGAAGGACCTAGTAATAATCATGAAATATTTTAAACATATTGCTTGCAGAATTTTATGTATACAAGTTTGAGCAATTTATGCAGAAGGGTCTTTCGAAATAATCATAACCTTTCTATTTTAATTTAACCATTTACATCACCTTTGTTACACACTTTTTTAAAAGTACGGAAGATAATGAATTAATAACTGTTTATAAACTTAAATTGATTACTTTAGCAATAACATCAATAATGTGAAAACACTTTCACATAGCCTAAAATTTTATGTAATAATGCACAAACTTGTAATATAAGTATATAAAATACAACATACCTTTTTCGTCTTATACTTTGGTATTCTATATATTTATCATTGCGTACTTGCTCTCTTTCATCAAATGTAGAATGGAAACTATAATAGTGCAATAAAAACGGCCACACATCCTTGCGCAACTTAATATCCAATCCAGCAAAAAATATTTCCTGTAAATAGCACATTAATATTTAAAGTTTAATAAATAGATATTTACATATCTTTACATATAAAACTACATTCATAGAAAAATTTAAATTGGGAGATTTTAAATGATAAGTTTCACAGGCTTATAAAAAACTGTAAACATTTCTTCATTTCAAATGTATGGTAATGACAGAATAAATACAGCTTGTTATCTGAGTCCAAAATAAGTGCAAATTTAAAGAATTTTCAATGTTGACAACATGGTACAGATAAACGTTTTCTTAAAATTTTTCACACTGTTGAAGTGCTGGATAAATTTTGTAGATGTTTTGTTACATTAACACAAAACACTGTTTAAAACAGCAGCTGAATATTAATTTTGATACCACCATGGCATAATACATTTTCCAAAAATCTTCACAATTTTTGCCTTGCCCTTCTGAAGAAAATAAGGAAAAGAAAAGATTTCTTGGCTTGACTAAACCAAAAAACATAAAAATATTGTTTTTCATAACATTTTGTTAGCTATTTTATATTTTTTTTTTTTTCCAGTGAAAATTTTATTTAAAAGAACGAGTACTGTAATAGAAAACATAACTATTAAGACAAAACTTGAGAATTGACAAAACAAAAATGCCACAGTGGAACCAGATGTTAATTCTAAGTTTCTAAAGAAGATTGTTTCAAGTATGAACATTAATTATTCAACAATATTAATAAAGTATAAAAAGAATTATTAGGAATTATTCTTAATATGCACTAAAAAGAAAAATAAGAAATTTTCAACAGTTTTTTGGTTGTCAACTGTTCTTTAATAACATAATAATTATACAATGATATCTGATGATATTTAATATGCACTAAAAAGAAAAATAAGAAATTTTCAACAGTTTTTTGGTTGTCAACTGTTCTTTAATAACATAATAATTATACAATGATATCTGATTTAAAAGTAAAAATCACTCAATAATTATGTATAACTAATTAAGTTTATTACATTCTCAACAAGAATATATTATTTTTAAATTTGAAACAAAAACATTGAATATGTAATTATTTCACACATTTACCTACACTTATATTTACTTGGCAAAATATGAGTGAAACAAACTACCTGATTTACAAAAATTTCTTAGATCAAGTCAACTTATGTTTGTTTAACAAAATGCCTTAATTGCACTTAGAGGCAAAAAAAAAAGGTATTAATTATAAAAAAATATCTATTTATTACAAACTTAGATTACTAGCACATATTAGAAATGAAAAACATAAATTACCTTTCTTAATTGAAGTTCATCTTCAACAATACCCTCCTCACTCATAAAACTTCGCCATCTTTGTTCATCTACAGTGCTGTAGATGCCCTCTTCTGGATGGCATTCAGCAGCAGATATCTCTGGGCGACTAACAGAAAACTGACAGTACTGACAGCTACCATTTGACTAAAACAAAAGTAAGTATTAAATGTATTTTTTTAACTAAAATATCATTCTCATACTGATATAAAGATTGACCAAATACCCTTTTGTAATATTATAGAACACAATGATTTGCAATTTGAAAATGAAACTTATTACATATGGTTAGACAGAATCAGGTAAATGCTTATGGGATACTATAAGAGATAGACTAGAAGAGAAACACGCTAATGTGACAATCAAAATCGTAAAAACAACCTTGTATTTAGTTTAGGTATAATGAAACACTCAATCGATTTCGAGGGCAGCTAAAGGTCCCTCCTCATCAGGAGAAAGAAATACCTAGAAAGAAGAAAATAAAGGAGAAGGAGTCACAGGACCACGTGTTTCTGTGACTACTTCTCCTTTATTTTCTTCTTTCTAGGTATTTCTTTCTCCTGATGAGGAGGGACCTTTAGCTGCCCTCGAAATCGATTGAGTGTTTCATTATACCTACACTAAATACAAGGTTGTTTTTACGATTTTGACTATAAGAGATATTTAACAAATGAACATAAAGACATATCAATTGTTTAATAATGAAGAATAATTAAATCACACTTCCTTAGTTCATCTTCCTAACCTCATATAATATTAACCTCGTGCTACTCAAAAACTCACAAAAAAAAAAAAAAAAAAAAAAAAAAAAAAAAAAAGGAGCACAAAGCACACAATTCCCTTTTCTGATGCTTCCTGGTACAAACAGTAACACCTTATACAACTTCTGCAGAAACATCAGGACTCTCTTCAGGATATCAGTTTGGACGTACAGTACTGGGATATTCTCATGGCTTTCTTCCATGAATATGCTCAATTTATTTTTACAATACTTTTCTATCATCAGCCTATGATACCTTAATGACACCTTCACATGTATGAACTCAATCTTCAAGTCTAGCCACTTTTTTTTAACATTTTTTATAGAAAGCACAATTTCTTGAATTAGTCTTCAGTAATGAGCAAAGAAAATGCCTTTATATTCATTTAATAGAAATTTAAGCATTCCAAAAACTCTTGCCTAATTCTGGCCCATATGATAAAAAGTGGCACTACTATCTATCAGTTGAAAATAAAAGTTTTTTTTTTTTTTTTTTTTTTTTTTTTTTTTCCCCATGATACCTGATATAAAATTCATATCTCTGTAGCAATGTAAGAAAGAAGGAAATTAATCAAAGTTGACATGTGCCATGTTACTAAATCAAATGGTATCTTTGTTACTATCTAAACTTTCTGACTAACATCCTTATAGTGTATAAGATATGAGTATACTTCAAATATATCAAGTATATCATTCAAAAATAATATACTAAAATGCAGTCATCAGGCAATTTCTCTCGAAAAACAATTTATGAAAATCAAAGATGAAAACAATGCTTGTTGTTTTCCAAGGCAATAAACTACATTGGAAGACTTCAAGCCCAGTGGAAAAAAATTTACTGTTGCACTTTACTGACATATTCAGATATACGTATCTCTCCTAATAAATTTGTCACAGCTCAAGAGAATTTTAGTCAAAATTTGCATCTGAATTGTGACCCACCTTCCTTAAGCTGTAGATAATGAGATATTTCTAATTTCCAAGAATCTAAACATCAATTAAAAACTGCTATTCAGGTAACGTTACAGCCACCAAGACAGCTGTGACAAATGTTCTAGCAGCAATATTTATCTGCTCATAAGCAAAAGCCTATGGAATTGATAACCATACTATACAATTTATAGATTTTTAAAGAACTTTATATGAATAAAGGTTGCTAATTTAATGCAGGAATTCACTGCTTTTTCCTAACATTAGTTTCATTTTTAAACTGTATCTGTATGAGATTCAGTTTTTCTTGTTACCAACCCAGCCTTAGCATAATTAAAATTTTATCTATTTATTATATAAAAAAAGAGTAAATATTCAAATGCATTGAAGTTATAAAATAAAAAAAAATTCTTCTACACAATGTTAAAACTGTAGCATGCACAATAATCTCTTTATACATAACAGCAAAATATATAAGATGTGTTTTATATATATATATATATATATATATATATATAAAAAAAAAACTGACTCATAAAAAAAATTTTTGGTTAGCAATAACAGAGATAAATTATCAAATTTAACATAAATACCTTATTTTTAGACTTAGAAAGAAAATTATAATCTTCAAAAACTTTAGCTAATTTGTCAAGTCCACCATGATGAAAATGAAGAATTTTGTATTGACTTTCACGACTAGCTATTACTAACTGACCACACGTACATTCTTTGTTGTTGTACAGTAGATGCAAAGAACGCATCTGACCTGAAAATTAAAAGCATAAAATTGAAGAATATATAACAATAACTTTTCCTTTACTTTAAACATATCATAACAAAAAGAAAAAGAAAAAAAGAACAATTTCATTACACAAATAAAATGAATGCATAAGCATATCACAGTATCATTAATTAATTCATAGCAATCTAACAGATAATACTGCCGAGTGTTAGGTGTTCTAAACGCATACAGACCCGATGATAGCTTGATAAAACTTATTTCACCAAAAAGAAGCATCTTAAAATTCTGGAACTTTTCACAGCAAATACTAGTACAGATCTTTACAGTATCACAGGGTACAACTAGTAATTACACTTCAAACTCTTAAAGCATGAAACACAAAGCAATGTAAAGTGCATCTAAACAGTGAAGCTTACACGGAGATACCTCAATACTCTGAATTCACAATGAACTAAACAACTATCGAGAAATTGATGCTCTCATCGGCCTTATAGACTTTTCCCCCAGTTACAGTACCCATTACAGTTATACAGGGACAGAACCCAAATTTCGCCAAATGGTTGCCAGGTTTGATGCCTAATAGCATTTTTTCACCAAATTTGGTGACCAAAATTAGTCGCCAAAACCGTCGCCAACTTGGTAATAACTCGCCAATTTAGCAAGATATCCATTTACTCAATGTTAAATAGATTTGCCCCTATATTCTTATTTTTCTGGCAGAGCACACCTCCTCTTTCAAGCATTCCGTGCTACATTATACAAAAAATACTGTAATTTCACATATAATTTCATGAAAATTATTTACATATGTACAAAATTCATTACAAAAGTTTTAAACAGCTTGCTCTTCATTAATCAATGTACACATATAAGTCAAGAATTCAGTATATAAAAACCCAAATAATATTGAGTTTGGGAATATCTGGCAAACAATTTCAATAAAACTAATGTCATCACTCATTCTTGTGGCTCAAAATCCCTAATGGAGTTTAAAATCTTGACAAGACTGTCACCTTCTTAATGAACAAGTGGCATAAAAAGTCACTGTAATATGTATCTAAGTGGTGTCGTGATTTCACGGTACCTTTTATTATGCCATTTTAATGAACCGTACAGTCTGAACATGCAAACCAATAAAACCAATACCGTAACTTTGTGAATACTCCACTGTTACTTCTTCTTATATCCTTCTTTAAAAAAAATTTAACTTGACCTATTGAAGATCAGGGTTATGTAATCTTATGAAGATCCTATGAGTGTGTTGTAACATCACATTTACTGACAATAAATTGCACAGTTTTGTGATAGTTTTTATTTTTGATAATTAGTTTTTATTTTTTGATAATGTCTGGTGGTAAAATATGTAAGTACTATTCGCTTTTTTTTTTTTTTTTTTTTTTTTTTTTTTAGTATTAAGGAATAGCAATCAAATCAAAAGCAGGTTTATATATATATATATAAAAATTGATATCTATTTGAATCGGTTTATTAAACATATAAAAGTAACTTTTAACCTTATCAGGAATAAACTCAGCACATATCTATTTTACTCCACATAGGGTTAGTTTTTGTCTCCAGCCTTAATAAAGACTTTCTCGGACTGCTAAAAATGATAAATTAAAAGTAAAATCTAAAAGCCATATTTTCTTTTCTTTCTTTGGTGGAGGCGGGCTGAAATTTGCTATGGTTATAAAAGTATTAGAGCTAATTGTTTTCCTTAGGATGGTTATTAAATTCTGTTCTTGAACTTTATTTCCAAACATTTAACTGATAAAATGTTAATGTATTGTTATTCCCAATAAAAGAATCAGTATTTTATCTTACACTACCTCATGATTTCATAATTATGTTCTATTTGGTGAAATTCCTATTGCTATAATTTTTTTAATATGTGCGTTTGTTACAAAGCTTATATATTTTTGAAAAGTTATGTAGTGTTTCTATTTATTCATTTTTTGCATGTTATGTAATAATTTTACCATGCACTTTTCAATCACCTTTTTAATAAATTTATTGTATTTATAAGTTTATTTTATTTTTTATTTGTTATATTATAGATCTTTTAGCTCAGATTTCATGGATGCGAGAACTGCAAACATAATTCATTAAGAACAAAAAATATCAGCCTGCTAGGGTGATGATTACAATTTTATCACTCAGCTGGTAACAATGGCTTCATCCTCGGGCAAGCCTATAAATATTGTCTTGAAACCATTAGCCACACTGTTCAGCTATTCAGATCAGAATCGTGCAATTGTATTGAGCACCTGTTTAGTTATTACTGCTTTATATTTTGCTCTGTGAGAAAGTGGTGTGGGATCTGCTATATTCTCACACATCAAGGAGAATTAACCTAACTTCTGTTTTTCTCCTTGAATTAAAATTATTTATAACAGTTTACCTTTCTGGATGAGCTGTTACTCATTTTCTTACTATTCATCTGACTGAATTAAGGAAATCTCTATCAACCCATCGCACACAACAATATCATAACTTGTTAAATAAATACAAAATATTTAAAAAGCATACTTAAATCAACAGAGAATACACCATAACTGCTTTCCCTTCTTGATACTTTATTGGCACCCTGGGAAGAATCTTCAGGAAAATTGAGATTATGAGCATGAGCAAGAGATTCAGGTGTTCCTTCAACAAATAAAAATTTATCCATTTGGTGTTTAGGTGAAGGAGGAGAGGAATGTTCAGGTGTCAATGGAAGAGATTCAGGATCTCGGTTAGATGTGGTAGGAGTTGTAGAAGTACTTCGAGAATCTACAGGACTCACATTTATATCAGGAGCATTCAAAGGCACTGATGCATTTTCTACATCTAAATAATAAGCAATAAAAATTTTAAACCATAAATGAATAAAATATCACAGCACAATATTTCATAATATCCACTTATTGTACTTCTTATTAAAAAGAAACATTTTAAATTATGTCTGTTATTTTTATATTTGTGTGTGTCATCCAAGTAACAATCTCAGAATTAAACTGAAGAAAAAAGTAACTTTCTTCAAACAAGTAGCAAATAAATAATAATAATAAATAAAACACTTTTTTTTTTCCAGAAGTAAAGAATTTAATACTTCTGGAAATCATATAAAAATTACAAAAGACAAGACATTTTAAAGCTAGTTACCACTATAAGAATTAATGCTTATAGAATAATAGTTATTCAAATAAAATTATGTATACTTCTGTAGGCAAAATATATAAAGAAATATATAAATATAAGGAAAAGGAAGCAATATTTGGATTTTTTCTGCACACTGACATGAAAAATAAGGATCTCACTTTTAATCTCCATCAAAAGACAATTTTCCAATTAAAAATACTTTGTTTGCTGTAGATCTTCTTGTATTACCATGTCTTATTAAGTCTTAAGTTATCTTTTCACACTATTTTTATTCCAGAAAAAAAAAAAAAAAAAAAAAAAAAGCTTTAAACATAGCTTCTTGTTGCACTGAAATTAAATCATTTTAAACCAAATTTTAACAAATCAGAGTTTTATTTTAATTTATTTTAAGTTAACTTATGATGAATAACAATAATTTGGGAAAGTTTAAAAAAACAAATTCATGAATATCCCAACTTGCACCCTAAGTAATTTTTACCTCTTGATCTGTAAAAAAACTGCCAAATTGCACCAAGGTGGCTGAATTAATATTACAGTGTCATAATTTATTTTAAATTTAATATTACATTAAATATAAAATGAACTTAAAATTTTTAAAAAGTCAATTTTAATATTATTAATTCCTATGATCACCCAAAATATTTTTAAGGTTACTATCAACTAATTTTCGAGAGAATTTTTAGATTAGTAAGGTAGAGATGTATAGATGACATCTCTGTATTTGGGAGTATTCTAACGATGATATAAAAACCTTCCTCTCTCATATACCTGATATCTTTATTAACCTATGATTTACATTCAACAAAAATGAATGACACTCGGTTCCTGGCCTTGCTTATCATAAGAAATGGAAATGGCTAAAAAACTATAATTTAGCATAAACCATTCAGCTATCAAGCAATAATTCCTTATGATTCTTTTCCTCATAATCATACAAGACATTTGTGTTTTCATGCATAAAATGCTCATAAATTAACCCAATACCTAAGCTATATAAAATAAAATGTGCATGAAATAATCAGGATTGCCTCTCAAACAGGAGAATGAAATTCCCTGACTTTTCCAGGTTTTCCAGGTGCGTTTCAAGAAAATTCCAGTCTATCCGCGTAATGTACGTTGGCTACGCTAAGAAGTAAATTAATTATGATATTACTTGTATTGTGTAGCAAATTCACTTAATTATTCAATAAATCCCAGAGGACATTTATTCTTAATTATTCTTGGTATACTTTGTTTGATAATTTTGTTCACTTTTCCACTTAAGAAACTTAATAAAATTTAAGATATATACATTGGATAACAAATGTATGTTTTATTTTATTATTACTCATGATCATCACCAGTTCAACATGAGACTAATCCGGTCCTTATAAATCACAATGCAATGCTAAATAGTTAGCTTAGATTTTAGGTAAATTTAATTTGTGTGAGGTATGTTCTTAAAAAGCACCTTAACACTTGAAAACACAATATAATTATAATAGTTGTTGTTTTGTTTTCTCCATTGAAGATTGAGATTAGAATCTTCCCATCTGGAATAAAATAAGGCTTTTTTTTGTAGACATTCTGCAGCTAAATGAAAGAAAGAAAGCTATTTTAATAAATTGAGGTATTTTTATATTTATTTTCGCAGCATACATAAGGAAAAAATATGTGCATTAAATTTCGTGATGGTATGTCATAATACTGCTAGAATTAATTTCAAGATTATGCCAGAGAAAATTTCCTGAAATTTGGAAATATTATTTTACTAATAATAAATAAATTTAGAGGGAAGAAGCATCATTAAATTATACGAATAACCTAAAAATAAAGATAATTACTTAAAAATTGAATTAGAATAATCAACGATATTTTAGCGAATATAGTTATATTATATGGTTAGCCTAGATGACAGATTACTATTTTTTATTTTACTGCAAAATGGCAAGGTATTTATTAAAAAGAAAAAAAAAAGTTTAAAAAGATTTTGCGGTAAAATTCTAGTATACGGTAATAATCAACGATATTTTAGCGAATATAGTTATATTATATGGTTAGCCTAGATGACAGATTACTATTTTTTATTTTACTGCAAAATGGCAAGGTATTTATTAAAAAGAAAAAAAAAAGTTTAAAAAGATTTTGCGGTAAAATTCTAGTATACGGTAAGGCTTCGGCACGATTTTGAAAATTGTCGCCAAGACCAAAATGACCCGTTTACTGCTCATCATCATGTCGCCAAATCCCATTGTACCATACATGGAGATTATTCTAACCAAAGAACGTCTATGCAAAGAATCTCTAATTCTTTGGTCTATGTAAAGAAGAAAAGGTTCCATACAAGTAAAATGCTATTACGCCGCTGAAATGCGGAGGGAAAATTTGCCAAGGGATTTGGCGACAGAACCTGGCGGCCAGAATTTCCCTCTCCGCGATGTGTACCGGAAATTGAGAAACGTGTTAAGAAGAAATGTTCTTTGACAAAAAGAAAGCTACGAAAATCCGTTTTTAAATTATTGCGAAAAATCCAAGAAGAAACGTTTTATCAAAGGACGTTTCTTCTTGGATTTTTCGCAATAATTTTAAAAATGGATTTTCGTAGTTCCCCCCCCCCTGAAAATTACTAACCCAAGAATTAATTTACTTGCGCCAAAAAATATTTTCTTTTCCTTTAGAGTTAAACCACTTGCGCTAAGACTAAACTTCACGGTTGCGGTGCCGTGCGCTACAATATAGCAAGCAGTAAAGTGTCTCATTTACGCCGCTCCGCATCTGCGAGTGCAATCCAGAGCTGTAACTCAGGAAACAAACAATCTCGTTGTTAGGCGACATGTGCACCATGTTATTTTCATTTTTGCTATAAATGCTTATCGACGTGGTGTTCACGTTGCTCGCAGTTTGAGACAAAAACATCTCGATGTGCGTGGCACGTCTTTTTAGCGCAAGTGGTTAAAGAAATTTTAAAGGATATTCATTTAATGAACTCTTGATAACGTGACCTTCGAACTTCGACACTGGTTTCGAGCTTTGATGGCAGATATATCACGCATGCACAGCTGTTTCCCTCTATGATGGAACGGAGCCACGTCTGTTGCAAAGAGGTTTTCCTTCTTTACAATACACATTCTTTGATTCTAACCTCCATGGTACCGTATACTAAGATTAAACCCATTTTGTTTTATACGAGAACAGGTACTTTATTTAGTTCATGCACTGCACATGCGATTCTCGAGAATACTGGAAACCAAAAGTTATGGGAAACTTGCTTTGTCTTTCTAAAAGACAATCAAATTGGAGCTGCGAAAATTGGCTCTATGCCAGCTGCCCGAATGATACTCACGTGATACGCAATTCACTAAAAAAGTTATCTCTTCCGACGTCAGCGCAAAAATCGCTTTTTTTGGCGGGATCATTGTATGAACTTCCCTTACTTTTCCAGATTTTGACAAAAATACTTAAATTCCCTGACTTTTCCCTGAATTTTTTGGTCAATTTTCGAATTCCCTGACTTTTTCCGGTTCTCCCAGTTTTCCAGGTAGCGTAGCAACCCTGAATAATAAACACGCACCAGATTTCATAGAACAGCTCAATAAGAAACATAAAAGGCATATTGCAAGAATAGATTTGACTGAAGTCCATACAAAAGTGAAACAGGGAATTATTAGAATTTTATTCAATTACGCAAATATTATATTCATTCAATCAATATTCAAGAAATATATTAAACTCACAATAACATTAGTGATGTATGCAAAAATTTATTTAGAAAGATTGAAAAACATGCAGAGAAAGTAAACATATCAGGATCCCCATTTGAGATTAAAAAAAAATAACAGGAAATTATAGGCAGTATACAGGATAGACATTTCTGAGAGTAACAGAGAATAATGGAACAAAAGTGTAACATGGAAAAATTGACTACTAATTACAGTAGTATTGATGAAAACAGCATATCTTTGGTTAAGAATGGGGAAAAAAATCACTCGCACTCAAAAATAGACTAAACCAAAAGTTACAATAATATAAAAACAGTCTTAAAAAATAATAAAAATTACAATAAGGCCATGGTGTAATAGAAAATTTCTAAAACACTCTTCTATCTATTTAAGGTCTATTACCTTCTTGAAAAGCAAAGTAATGCCAGCAACTACAGATGAATCTAACATAAAGAAGGAACAAAGAAACTAAAAGGAGAAAAAAAATGAAACAAGATGCCATTTAACTTCTACTTAGCCTATATATGAAAGCTCCAATAGAACTCAATAGACTAATTTAATTTTTGCGTATGGAATTTAAATATCAGTATCAAATTTTATATTCACACTGTGCATGCTGAACAATAATCTTCAAATTGATTCTTCTTGCATTTTTATCCACACAGGAAAACAAAATGTGCAATAATTTGCTGAAAAATTCGACCTCTCTTTAGTATAAACATAATCTTACCAGCATTTACAATAGCAGCAAGAGCAATGTCAGCATCAATTCCATCTTCTTGATTTGTGTCTACTTTTACCAGCTCCTTGTCATTAATCTCACGAACTTCATTACAGGTGTTTTCATCTGTTAATCCTATATCAATACTTCTTGAAGTACTCTCACTGTATCCATCATCCTTTGAATCTAGAACAACAAAAAATAACCATAAAATAATAGTTATCAGATGAATTTCATGAATATTCATATTTTTCAATTACTACAAAGAGCTGACATTCGATATATACAGTACAAAGTCCGAAATCCGGACTGGTCGGGACTTCGGCAATTCCGGATTTTGGATTTTTCTGGATAATAGAACATCAATTTAAATCTGGTAAGATAGCATGCAGAAATTATACAATTAAAAATATGAAATCGTAATTTACGAAATAAAGAACAATTATGATCTGAAGGGTACCAAAATTGACAAAAGAAAGCTTAACATTTATTTGTCTACTTTATTAAACATTTCTTTCAGTGTAAGTTGTTTAAAATGCTTCTACAAAAAATTCAATAAGTTCCTTTTTCTTCTTTCTTGTGTCATATACAGTGGACCTATGCCAAACCCCTCGCATAATTTTGAGATGGATATGCCTTTATCCATTTTTTCCAGCAATTCCACTTTTTGTTTAATGGACATTGAAACATCTTTGGCAACTCCAGAAATGGAAACTCTTTTCGACATGATAGTTCAAGCTTAGTTTTAATAAAATTGCCATAATAATATGAGTCTACCAAAAATAATAAGCTGGATCAAATTAGAAGATCAGAGAGCAGTGCAGTCTGCTACATTAATTGAAATGCCTTAGAATCAGTGAAGATAATTAAATTAAGCCTGACTTTGTTAAGCAACGTCCGTTATACATTATTGGCTGTGTATCACAAGATTGGCGACGAAAGCCAAGTTGTTTCGCTAAATTTTGGCTTGCTCCTGTTGCACACTGAAATTAAGCCTGATTTGTATTAGTTTAGTTATTTATTATACCTATGTTTATTTCTTGCACATGATTCAAAACTAATTCGAGTCCTGAATAAATAAACTCCCACATATACTTAAGGCTTTCATCTAGGGCTGGCACTTGATACCGCCTGGTGCAGTCTCTACAAGTCCAAAATTCTGCTACAAAGCGCTTGCTTTCCCAAGTTCTAAATTTTTACCGTGCCTAAACTTTGGATCCCAGTGATTTCCCTAACATCATAAAAACTTCTCATCCCTTAATTTTACCGCTCGATGCTTCTCCGCGAATTCCAAAAATTTCATCATCTCCCTAAATTCTGCCGTCCACTGCCGACAATATTCTGCCACCGCTTCTGGGTTTATGGTGAATACAAATCTTTTTTTTTTTTTTTATTAAAATCGAGCATTAAATGTAATCTTTTGGCCTATGAGTTTCATTAACAAAATCTATTTTTAGCATATGAAAATAAATTTTTGTTGAATTTTTTCTCGTCAACATTTCTTAGAGCATTTAAAAATCTATCATTCCCCTATGAGTTTCATTAACAAACTCATAGGGTTCATAGAGTTACAAACTCATATATACATATATGAACATAGGGTTCATAGAGTAACAAACTCATAGGGTAGACTCATAGAGTTATGAGGCCTATGAGTTTCATTAACAAAATCTATTTTTAGCATATGAAAAGAAATTTTTGTTGAATTTTTTCTCGTCAACATTTCTTAGAGCATTTAAAAATCATCGCCAAGCGTAATGTTACATAAAAAGTTGCCATACTCTTGTTATTCAATTACTAATATAAAAACAGTTTAGATATCACAGCACGAGTTATTATTGAAGCTGTCATGTATTAATAAACAAAGCATGATGAAAGCAAAATATAATAAATAATGACTCACCAGGTCGGCGTCAGGGTGGTAATAGGTGAATGTTTCGGTTGAAAATCTCCACATGTTTTATTATGGAAGAAATAATCAAACACGCATGCATAAAGCATTAATAAAAAAAAAATGTTTGTGGCTTTGAGGCCTGGATTTCGATCATTTCCGGATAATGGACGTCCGGATTTCAGACTTTGTACTGAAGTAGTTTTGCCAGGTAGGTATGTTCATGAAAAATTTATTAAATTTGCAGATTGTAAACAATTTCATTCCAACCAGAAACACTTAGTTCAATATTTGATTATATGTGGAACAAACATTTCAAGTTATATGGTAAAAGAAGTTTTGGTACTATTCCATTTTGAGGACCGTAAAAAAATTGCAGCGAAAATGTATGCGTAAAAGCGCCAAATCTAGCAAATGCGCCCATTTAACAGCGCGCCACATCTAGCGTATGTGCTGATTTCAGATTGCGTAAGTTTATATAAGTTTATATAGTTCTATATTTCTTAAGGGGTATCAGAAACCCCTATACGGACAATGTTATATTGGCCATTTTCGATGTACCTTTCCTCAAAATCTGCTGTAGATACAAGCTTGAAATTTTTTCTGTAATTTAAGTATACCTATCTGATTATACTGAAATGAGCTTTTGAAACATTTTGAATTTTAGAGTAAATTACAGAATATTTTGTTAGGCATAGTAAAATTTAGCACTTTTCTCACACAAAAAAATTTTTAAAAAATTTATTTCTAAGTTTATTACAAAAAGCTCATTTCAGTAAATATTAGGGAACCTAATAAATAAGACATAAAAAGTTTAGATACCTGTGAGCAGTAGATCCTGAGAAAAGGTACATCGAGTATAAAAAAATCACGTTTGGAGAAAACCGTGTTTTTATGTAAAAATCCTCATTGATCAAAGCAGTAGATGACAAATTAAAACTATATTTTTATACAGTTCTAATTTTCATAGAGATTAAAGAATGGTATTTTTAGAAAGATAAAAGTTTAGAAGATTTTAAAAAGCAAAAATCCAAAATCAAATTTTTTTGAAGATTTTGGAGTTCCAACACCCCTTAAGACACCACTGAAATACTAGTTTAATTTTTAAATCCTTTTTTCATATCCTATAGATTTAACAATTTGGAAATTGCCCGTGACGAAAAGTCTGCAATAGAATTTTGAGTAAAGTGCAGAATCACCCACTGCTTGACGCGTTTTTAAGAATAGCACATATTCGGTATGCATGTACACATCGACCTATTTTCACTTTAAAAAAAATCCCATAATTGTACAAAAATGGCACTGCGCACATCCTTGACTTTATCTATGTACACATTGACCTATTTTCACTTAAAAAGTAAAAGAAAATTGACAAAAATCCAATTGTTTTTACCCTTGTAAAAAGCGGCAAACAAATAAGTGGGCAATTCTGCACTTTACCGAGAATTTTTTCAAAGAAAGACATCCTTCATTATAGAAAATTATGTTGAACAACCAACGATATGAAATTATGCTTTAGCTAAGATAAAGAGAACAATAATTTTGAATATATAATGCAAGTGCAACGAAATTTCTGCCAAAACAAAAGAAACAAAATTTCACTAGTAAGTAGGTATATCGACTGATTTCCAAGAAAAATAACAAATTAAAGCATAAAAATTATATGCATTATGTACCTCAATTGTCCATGTTTTGTCTTTAACATTTATTTTGAAATTTTACTATTCTCAATTCTTATTTTTAACACCCAGTCAGCTGTAGTTGAAATTATATTTCCACTATATATCTTCCATCATGTGCAGTTTCATCACATACAAATTGGAACACTCATGACACTTTTCCAAAATACCAAATGAGTGGAAATAATAGTAAAAATAGGCACAAGATGAAAAGAGATCGTCTGGATAACTTTCTGCATGAAAAGTTTGCCAAAAGAACAGCAGAATGCCAAAAGAACATAGTTGCTCTAATTAGTCTAAAATTAATACAGAATTTTTTTTTTAAATATAAAAATGAAGCTAGTGCCACTTTGTTCACACAAAGGGTTGGGGAGTAATAAAAATCACATCATCTAGAACAATAAATTGCCACAACACTCAGAGGCAAGCATAGTCACAGATGGTGTTATTAATGGTGTATCAGCAGGTACCAGATATAGTTAGCCCAATGTTTAATATTCGATTAATTAAAAATACAGATTATAAAAAGATCATCTTTAACTGACCTTTTTTAGAGGTTTCAATGTCATTAAGGCCACAAATCATTTTCTCAAGTGCTGCTATAACTTCTTCAGGGCCAATACCAGAATCAGTCTGGCTTTGTAAACCCCCATCATTGCTAACAGAATTCTCTTTTGTCTTGTCATTCAAATCACTTTTTGAATCCTCGCTAGGCTGTTCACAGTTATCTAAATCATTCATATCAGCTGATATCAACTGAGAACTAGTAGATGGTGTCATTTCAGTATGATCACTATTGGAAAAACTTTCCAGGCTTCCAAAATCTTCTCTAGGACTGCCCATATCTGATATGGTTGAACTAATACTTCTTCTGTCAGCATTATCATCAGCAGATATTCTGCAAATAAATGGAGAACTAGTTTTAAGACAGTGCATTTTTTTATTTGGAAGAAAAACATTATACAAATATATAATCATAAAATAAAACAGCAAAGTGGTTAAAAATTGCACCAAATATGATTTTATGAAAAAAGAAATTTACATTTCTCTATTTAAAAAAAAGCACAAAATAAAATACTCAGACCAAAATTAATTTTCTGATATATATTTTTTTTTCCCTCTCTTTTTCTCTATATAAGAGATTTTAAAAATGTCTTGGCCAAATCTAAAATGTTCTACTACCTTGAAATGAGCTCTTCCTCTCTTTTCTTGACATAAAAAGAATTAAAAATATAAACTGACACTCATTCAAACCCTCTGCATAAATAGCAGAAATTTTACAGAGAATGAACTACAGCGATAAACTAATGCTATCAATCACAACTACTTTAATAAAGAGATAGATTGAATCAGCTCTTTGATGTTGCTGAAAATCATTATATACAAGATGATTATAAAATAAATTTTCCTGTTTGAAGAAATCTTCAGCTAAAATTAATGAACAGATGAAACTAAACTTAATAGACTATGAAGGGCATGGGAAGAAAAATTCTTGAGGAAGGTAATATAATAAGTTGCCAATAAGACAGATTTCAGCAAAATACGAAATATGCACTATCTACGCAGATTACACAAATTTCCTCCACACAGCAACACTCATTTCTTTTAAAAAGGGGAAAGTGAATGTTAAGCCAGTAGTTTGAGCGACTGTTGATTTATGCTTCACATGCATCTTACCTTATCTGAATGTGACTTACTCGTATAGCTGTTTTACGCTAGAGATCTAATACTGTGGTGGCTTTTATACAATTTAAAAGGCTTCATAAGATGTGTAAAGTAACAATGTCTCTTGTAGCATTGAGAGGTATGATTAAAAAATTCAAAGAAACTGGATTGCTAGAAATTATAGCCAGCAAATGATTAAAAGCAGTATCACACGATACAGTAACACAAGTTGCCACTGCAGTGTTTGATGGCAGAGGGACTAGCAGGTGGTCCAAGCTCTTGTGCAATAGTCAGCTAAAGTGAGATGCTTTATGCTATTGGCAGGAAAATCTTATGGAAAATGCTGCATTTTTATCTGTAGAAGTTCAGTCATTTGCAAGAAGTAAGAATGGCAAATTATGATAAGCCCCTGACTTTTGTACTAACACTTCTTGACTGAATGGAAATCAAAAATTGTTGGCCTTGGGAAATATTGTGGGGAGATAAAGCTCATTTTTTCTGAATGATTCCAACAATACTCACAACTGACAAATTCGGGCATCTGAATGGCCCACAGAGATCCATCAAGAGTTATGGCATTTTGCAAAAGGAAGGAAATTTTGGTTTTAACTTCTTTAAATTCATTGTTGCATTTAAAACATTACTTGAAATTTATTAATTATGAATTTCAATTTTTGGTCTTTGTGAAAAATTAGTTCTAAATTTCTTTACTATATATATGTGTATAAACTATAAATATGTTTATGTACTCCCTACAAGATTGTTTTCTACTTTTCAGTTAACACAGATTCTGAAACTGAATTTATGCTCAAACCAATACCAAAACGTAGAAAAATTAATTAAACAGAATAGAAAACCAAACTTAAAGTTTTAAAAAAAAATTCAAACAGCAAAACTGAGTCTGAATCATCGTAAAAACAATCTAATTAAAAAAAAAAAAAAAAAACATTTTTTCGCTATCACATGCAATAATCTGTTTTGAAATTTTTGTGAATAGATAAATTGGAAAGGAGAAAATGTGGTCTAATCCTACGAAACCTTAATCTGAACTATCATAATTTCGGGTAGATAAGCTGCGGCTTATACGTGTTTAAAAGTTGAAAATTTAGGTTGGCAGCATATCTGAGGGAATTTTATTTTTCTTCTGTCCTTAAAACTTCACTAATTCAGATCGTAAGTAACGCTGAAGCGAGGCGGTAAGAATTCGCTGCAATATTCTAACCTCAGATTGTGCTAAGACAGTGCAATAAGTCCAAACTCCCCTAAGGTAGGTGACGCTCTCTGTAAAGACACTGTAATGCATATACTTCCTCCTAAACTCTGGTTTTTCTCCCATTTTCTTATGACTTTTGTTTTACTGGCAACAGCTATGTTATGTGCTGTGTTCATTCATACACGTTTTACTACTTTCTAGCTTGCTTTTTGTTTGCCTTATTATTTGTGCTTCAAAAATATTATCATTGTTATGGCTCCTACTCAAAGAAAAAATTATACAGGTGCTTTTAAGCTTTCAGCAGTGAAGAAAGCCATCAAAATTGGAAATCACGCTGAAGCTAAAGAATTTGAAGTTGACGAGCGATGCATTCGGCAGTGGAAGTCTGAACAAGAAGAATTAGAGAAAATGCCTAAGAATAAAAGATCTTGTCTAACTGGTGTCATAGCTTGGCCTGTTTTGGATGACAATTTAGAGAAAATGGACAATAGAGTAGAGAGAAAGTGGATTATTAGTATCAACAGTTAGAATTCATCTTCACGCAAAGATAATTGCTCAACAAATGGGCATTAAAAATTTTGTTGGAGGACCTAATTGGTGTTTCAGGTTCATGAAGTGAAAGAAATTATCCGTCTGGACCAAAACAACAGTTGGACAAAAGCTTCTACTGGACTGGCTTGAAAAAAAAAAGATAGCTTTTTTGGAGTACACATCTAAGAAAATTAAAGAACAAAATTTGAAAAGAGAGCAAATAATTAATATGGACGAAGTGCCGTTACTTTTGACTGTCCTCTGAGCAGAACTGTTCATTCAATAGAGAAAAACTATTTTAGTGTTAACAACCGGGAATGAAAAGACTTCTTTTACTTGTGTTTTGGGTTGCGCCGCCAAAGGAGAAACGTTAACCCCTTTGATAATTTTCAAAAGAAAAACAATTCCGAAAGGAAACTTCCCAAAAGGAGTTATTATTTGTGCCAACGAAAAAGGATGGATGTCGAAGAAGTGATGTTGTTTTGGCTGAGAGAAATTTCGGAAAAGGAAAGGTGCTTTTTTCCAACCCCGAGGACTCATTGTTCTGGATTCAATGCAACCACATTTAGCTGATACGGTAAGATCTGAAGCAAAAAATTTTAGCCCCGATGTCTCTGATACCAGGTGGGCTTACAAACATTTTACAGCTACTAGATCTGATTATCAATATAACTCACGAACTATGAAAGCAGTGGGAGGAATGGATGCAAAGCGGACTTCATTCCTTCACGAATTCCGGATGAATAAGAAAAGCTTCGCATGAGGAGGCTGCCTTAAGGGTCGATAAAGCATGGCAATCAGTCCGAGCTGATACGATTGTATCGGCTTTCATTAAATTGAAAATCATTGGAAAAGAAAATGAAAGTGAAGATAGTGACGTTGAAAAAAGTGATTTAAAACAGAATGATGAAACTGACCTTGATGGTGATTTGTTAAATTTATTTAAATCAGACATCAATGAGTTAGATTTTGAAGGTTTTGTATAAATAAATATAGTTTGAATTAATTAGAAAATTCTGTTTGTTTATCTAATTTACGTATTCTTTTTCATAATGTGGTAATTTATGCTGATAAACGGAGTTTACCGAAAACGTAAAGATAATATATTAGAAGTCATCAGAGTTCGTTTTTGGGAAGTTCCAGGTAAGATGTTTCCTTTTTATTTATATATTACTGATTATATTTATGTTGTAAATGTTATCAATGATGATTACACCAATGTGGCAGGGAATTACTGAATGAATGAATATTAATTGCCATGCTTTGGAATGCTTGGCTGCAGTGTATACGGCGGTGCGGCTTATCCAATGATCTTTTATTTGTTTCAGTCAATTATCATGCGTGTGGCATATACGCCAGGGCAGCTTATCTACCCAAAATTATGGTACATTATACAGTTCAAAAGAAATTTTAAAAATGAAATATTCCTTTCTATCATCTAGATTTTATATATTGCATACAGCATCAAGGCAACATAAAATTTTTAAAATAGTGTAAAGGTACTTAGGTATTAACGTAACCATTTTGGCATGTTTTGGTGAATTTTCTAAAGATGAGAAAGAAGAATGACTGTTCATTGCAAAACAAATTACTTACCATACACACATATATTTTCCATTTTAATTGCATATTTATATCAATTAATAAACCTACTTAAAAGCAGATTTGTGTTCCTTTTGCTCTGTCAAAAAATTTGAGATGATTACTTTAAGAATAGATTCAATTGCTACATTTAGCAATTTTATGGCAAAATAATGTATTTCTATAAAACTATAGTCCAAAGGGGCTTTGTCCCTGAGAGACTATTGTTTTCCTTTTGTGATTTTGCATTGAATCACTCTGAATGACCGTTTCACTTTTCAAACGGTTGCCACCAAATATATTTGAAAAAAATTAAATAATGAAGAATCTGCACAAATGTAAGTATGGTCCTCGCATTGTGATAAAACAACAGTACCTAGAACCATCAAATTTTGAAAGACATAATCCTACTGCAAATATGGTCATCTGGAAGCCCAAATTTGAAATTTGGAATTTATTTTATCAATTTCATATTTTGTAAAACTCTAACGAATTTTTCATTAACAAACTCAAGGATTTCAAAGCGAGCAAAGGCAACGTTGTACAAAAAAAAAAAAAAAAAAAACATTTTTATCTCCAGTGCGTAAGACTGTGTATTGGAAATTCTAAAGATATGCTCAATTTAAAATTATTTTGTGATATTGCTCTTGAAATGAATTTTATAATTTAAGTGTGAAGAACACGATATTTAATAAATAAAGATAACACACAAAATGTTAAAAAAATGGCCCTTTGGACATAATTGAAAATCCAAAACCTTTCAGATTTTTTTTTATGTAAATTATTTAGTAATAACATATTTATATTTTAGTCATATACAACACTATTGCATTACTAATCAATTTAAATATTTTCATTACATGTATTTACAGCTTCATTTATATGCCTCCAATAACTTTCTTTGGTAATATATATATGTACAAACATTTTTATACTTGGTATGAGATCTACTTCCCCATCTGTGAGTTTGGATAGTTTTCAGATTAGATACAAGTTCCTTTAACAAAAATAGAATCTTAACATATTTGTTCATAAAGAGCAGAAAACAAAAGTGAATTCTTCAAAATCTCATTCTACAACAGTATAACAAACATATTGTAAATGAATAAGAATTTTACCATACTTATTGCTAGATATTTTAGGAAAAGTTATTTAATTTATTTGTATTTTATCATAGAAATATTAAAATATTTATTTTCAAATAAGTTAAAATGTTATTATCCCTGTATTACAAATGTATCGCCATTCATTTTTTATGGAAAAAAACTTACATATCATCTCAGAAAAATCCGATTTTGTGTCAAAATACCTATATTAGAACAATGATATATACAAATCTAATACACATCCCAAATCTTACTTTTGAGACATGAAAAACGTAAGTTGAATTTTGTCCACTGGCCCAAGTAGAATGGGAGATATAAAGCTTTATTCCTGGGGGGGGGGACTGTGTACCCGTAAGATTAAGACAGTATGCAAGCGATCCTGAGCATTACAGACAAGGCTATAATTTACTAAAAAAGAAGTAAATAGATAAAATCTTGAATTGAGATTACCTTTGATAAGACTTACAACAGAGTTGATTAAAGTCCTCACTTGATCTTTCACTAGCAGCATATGATGAATTACTTTGTGATAATGGTAAGTGAAGAGGTGACCTTCCACTAAGACTGGGACTTGGACATGTACTACTAAAAGAACTTCTGCATGGTGAGCTTTCAGGGGTTTTGTTTTCTAAACTACGTGGATTCTTTTTCAGAGTTGTATTAGGTATCCATGTGAGTATAAGTGTAGAGCCTAGAACCTAAAAAATAAAGTAAAATTACAATATCATATTGCTACATTTCAATATATTCTGCACCACTAAAGTCTAAAATAACAAAGGAAAATAATTATTTATATTAACCTTCTGGAAACTCAAGTAAATATTGTTTAAACAAAAAATACACTAATGGCAAAAATACAATTAAAAATATTGTGTAATATATACAGTACATAAAGCATGTACAGCATATGGAAAAGAATTTACTTAGTGAATACAAATATAGAAACACAGAAAGAAAAAAGGTACTTACAGTCATTCCCTTAACCGAAAAACTGGTGCCAAGCAACATAATTTAGCACCAGTTACGGATAAGCATGACATAACAGCACACTCATAATATCTGTGTTTTGCAAGATGTAAATGCATTGATTATTAATTTTTTTCTCATTTTGAAAATCTTTAAATTAATTTTTTATAAAAATTTGAGGCCTGCCATTCTACAGAACAGTAAGCAGTGAATTATTTTCAGGGATGCTATCATTAAAAAAAGTGTGTATTTATGGACATGATATGTTTAGCTGCATAAGCCCCAAAACAATAGCAGATTCCAAAAGTTACCTTTTGGAATCTGCTATTGGAATTTATTATAAGCATTATAAAGAGCTCCCGATAAAATCGGAGGGCCTAAAATAATGGAATTCGACAAAAGCCTTTTTACAAAGTAGGTTGAATATTGATTGTTTATTAAATAAATATGCATCTATTCCTTCAAAGTTCCTCATAAATGATTGGTGCAATAAGTACTAGAAAACATTATAGAATTACTCTTAAGATACTGAATATATAATTTAAGCAGAAGAAAAATGGCATGCTAAAATTTATATTTTTAACGCAATATAATTTTTAGTTTCTATGCATTGCTGAATTTTCAGATCGTGGCAAACTCTGGCAATTATGTGAGTAACCATTCTTCAGAGAACCATGCTTGTAACAATCTTTCAGTCAAGCAACGATGCAATTTTCATATGCATTCTAGTTGCATTCCAAGTCTTAATAGTTTTCAGAAAAATAGCATGATACCTTTTGCCTTAAATTTAATTTTAAAATGTGGAAATTACCAGTAATGAAAGAAGTTGCAGTAAAATTTCTGCAAGACTGCAGAATTTTGCCTCAAAATCTCTAACAGAACAACAAAGAGATGCATTTAGTATATGGGCAGTGTTTCTGAGGTTTAAGCAATGTCTCTGCAATTCTCTGATTATTTTTCAAGCAAAAACAGATCTCTATGTACTTGGAGAAAATAATAATGTAAAAAAAAATTACAGAAGGATTTGGAGATGAATGTAAATGTTTTATTTTTTTAATGTATCATGTAATCCTTACTTAACAATTAAAATCTGTATTTTAAATTGCTACAGTATGTTGACTTTTCATATGTTGAAAGCATTTGTTAAACTACAATAAATATTGAGAGTTTCGGAATCTTTTTTTAAAAAATCATGAAAACCACCAACTTGCACCCAATACTTACCTTTTCCCATTTCATCTGTAAAAAAGCACCAAATTGTGCCAAGGCGGCTGCATTAATATATAAGTATCCAATATTATAATAAGTCATACAAAAACAACTAGGTGACTGAAATCTTAAAAATTCACTTTTATAAATTATTTTCTTGTACATTTTGAGTTTTATCAGTTTAACAGTTTTAACTGTGTATTACAGAAAGTATTAAATATCAGTACGTATTAGTAAAAAAATTATTAAATACCAATACTAGTATTTAATAATTAAGTAAGTAAACTTAATTATTAAATACTAGTATTGAGTAAGTAAGCAATATACTATAACCAATAAGTAACTATAACCAATAAATACCAATAAGTAAACAATACTAGTATTACATAATAAACAAAGAATTTTCAAATGTTATTAAATAATGTTATACAAAGTTAGTTTTTTTTTTAAATTTTATTTTTATTTTAATGGAACTACATTTTCATCCTTTTTTGCCCCTTTTATAGTTAAGTTTTTCAGGATATCTAAGAATTCCCCTCTCCATCTTTAGCAAAAAATTTAAGAAAATTTAAGTGCATTTTCTCTCAAAAATCTTTTCAATATTATTATTTTGATCCTTTGTCTTGAAGCTCTCAGAAAATAGTACACAATACTTAAGTATTAGTGCAACTGCCCTAGCACATTTTTTTCGATGTTTTACGAAGGAATGAGAAAAATGATTCAGTTATAAAAATAATTGGTAAAAAATATTTTTCAGGGTTTCCCTTGGCAAAAATTGGCGATTTTTGGAAATTGGCGATTTTTGGAAATTGGCCAGCAAGGCACAATTTCAAGAAGGCCGCTACAAACCAAAATAACAAATCAAAGAATTGCAAAAGCAAAATAACCAAAAATACCCCCCACCCCCAAAAAAAATCAAAGAATTGCACACACCCTGTGTCCATGTGCTCATCAAATTATTTTCACTTAAAATGTACATCAGAGAATTGCCCAAATTTAGCATTGCACACTTCCTTGACTTTTCCATGTACACATCGATCTATTTTCACTTTTAAAAAAATCAGGAAAATGATGACGTCATATAACGTTAAAACAAAATTACTTATCACCAAAATTGAAAAAAAATTTGCAGCCAACCGAATCTCAATTAATTGCACTTTAAATCACACAATGAAATAACATAAAAAAGGAAATGCATGTTATCGCATATAAGCACTTCAAAAAGGAAATATCAACTTACCATACTTAGAAATTTCTGTGTCTTCAGTCTGTAGCACACAAAATTCATCAGCATCCAAAAACTTTCTAAATTTATTCTGAACTAGAATATACACTACATAAATTAGGTGGACAAAAATAAGAGTAAAAAATATCCTCCATAGTGTCGTACTGTCGGTTGTATTTCTTGCATGAACCCTTCTTAGGATAAACACATTCAAAGCCATTTGAATGATCTTTACATTCAACCATTTGCATTTCCTTCAATTACACACCAGTCAATTAATTTCCCCCCCCTTTCATTCCAAATCCTACAAAAACTTCAGATTAATCTCATCACAAACAGCCATTTTACGGTGGACAGCACAAAATAAGCAATGTACTTCCTAACTGACATCCAATGCAGAAATAAGCCCTTAAAAATATTTTTCCATCAGTCAAATTCAGTCCAATTACACAACCAATCACATCATAACAGGATTTCCATAAAATTCAACTACTCAGGTTACCATAAATGAAACAACAATTTGGCAATAAATGAAACAACAACTTGGCGATAATCCAAGGGGCACCCTAAAATATAGATTAACTAAATAATTTATTAGATACATATTTTAAATTATAATGAGGTATTTATCCTGAAAATTAATCAATAAACCTAGTCATACGCAGTTTTAGCTTCTTTTGTTCTGGTGGAAATTTCATTGCAATTTCTTAACCACTTACGCTACAACTAAACTTCACAGCTGTGGTGCCGTGTGCTAGAATATAACAAATGGTAAAGTGTCTCATTTATACCGCTCCGCATCTGTGAGTGCAATCCAGAGCTGTAACTTGAGAAATAAACAATCTCGTTGTTAGGTGACGTGTGCACCACGTTATTTTCATTTTTGCAATAAATGCATATTGACATGGTATTCACGTCGCTTGCAGTTTGAGACAAAAGCATCTCGATGTGCATGGCATGTCTTTTTAGCACAAGTGGTTAAAGAATAGATACAGAACAGTTGTTCCCTTTAGCAAGTTCTCAACCTGAAATCCTATGAAAATTTTGCTGCAGTTTCTTTAATATTTCTTTAACCCTCTGAGTGACACAGGATTTTAGATCCGTCATGAAGACATATTTAAACAGCATTTATTAATTGAGTTTGTATAATTACTTATATTAGTCTGTTTTTCATAAACTTACATTCATTAAGATAATATTTACATCATTACAGAATGTAGGAAAACAAAAAAACAAAATATCTTAAATTATAAGCTAATATATGCCAAATAGCAAAACTTCTGATGACCTGATAAAGCCAATCATAACACTCAGAGGGTTAATTGCACCTATGTACCAAATTTCGTAGCCCTGGGTCTATTAGCTTCCGTGCAGGGCAAACAAAAGACACATACACAGACAGATTCTTCTTTTATATATACAGATAAATATTAGATGATATTTAATTATCTCCTTGGTTGTAAAGAAATTAAACAGAACTTTGAGATAAAAGCTAAGATACTAATTTTATTCAAAATTAATAATAAATGTTTATATCTTTCTTTTTGAGGGGAGGAAGAAATATCTAAAACTAAAGTGAGAAAAATAACATTGAAATTCAATCTGGGAGGTATTAAACCTTATCGATTTTCACAGATGATTCAGTAAACATATCCTTAAAAGATGGAGTATTCAAGGTAATATAGCAGCTTTGGGAAGATTAATCCTAATTTTTATCAAAAGTGTGTCCCAAAGAAGTCTTACATTTTCCTTCCTACACAATTAACCTCTTATAATTGACCCTGATATTTGAATCATTTTCATTCTATGTAGATACAAAAATAATATCCATGCCAAACATCCATACAATAACACAAGGCATCTGTGTAACGCTGTTTTCCAGCAACCAGTTTCTTAACCATGGCAGCTAGATGAATATACTGCAAAGAGAGTGTAATGCCTTACATTACAAAAGTATCAGATCTTGTAAATAATACGAAGGCATCTTACCTCATCTGTTTGTTGGCGTATTGTAAGGTAACCAGGATGGTGTGAAGTGTCTTCTGCTCTCAATGTATTAGGCGAATGCACACACACATTATTTTTGCAAAATATAAATTCTGAATCCTGCACAATCTTTTGAGGAGAGGCATCAATCCCACCTATTTTTAGCAGGCTAGAAGCTTTACGCAAGAGAGTGTTAAATGTGCTCATCTTTCCTCCTAAAAATATAACAAATTACACTATGCATATTTTTGTAAAACACTTTAATGAAAATATGAATAAAAATAGTGATAATTCTTGAGTTAGACTATTTAGCATGCAATTCATCCTCATTCTAATTTTATTTCATTCAGCTTTTAAACATCAATAAATAGTGCATTATAAGAGAAATTGGCAATAAATAATATGAATTTAATTACTTTCATTGCCTACTATAACTAAATGAAACCCAACGTAAAAATGCATGAAGGATTTTTAATGAAATAAATTATGAACAGTACTTGGTAGTAATCCCCTGTGTGTTTAGGTTTAAATTTATTCTACAGTAGCCCTTGGAAAATTGTCTCCTTTTTTGATGCCAAGATCAGCGCTAGGAAGAATCAGCACCAATTTCAAGATGGTCTCGATCCTTTTGCCCGCTACACAAAACCAAAACAAGAAGTCAAAGACTTACACAAACTCAGTCTCCATGTACACATCGACCTATTTTAATTTTTAAAAAAAAATCAGAGAATTATACAAACTAGGCACTGCACACTGCCTTAACTTGCCATGTACACATTGATCTATTTTCACTTAAACAAAATCAGGAAGCTAAAACAAAGTTAAAACTATCATGTCAACCAGAAAAAATCTGTCGCTGTCTTAACACACAGAGACGAACAAATAACCAAAAATACACTACGTTCATGCTTCCCCACCATAATCTCCTGTATCCTCCACATAAGCAATTCAATTAAATTTTTCATCATTTTGGCTCATCCGCTGTTAATCAACATTCATCCTCTTAACCACCTCAAACATACTCAAATGATGGTACCCACAGCAAAATAATAGCAAGTTCAGAATCCAAGACCATACCACGCATGTGCAACCAAATACAGCAAAAGAACGGTAAAAACCAAAAATCGGGTCCATACGAAAGGGTTACTATTACAAAAAATAGCCAAAATCTAAATTTATCACAACACATTTGGTGATATTCACAGAAATAACCCCTTTTTAATGACAAAAACTGAAAAAAAAAAAAACGCAAATTTTTCCCTAGGCTAGTTTTACCAACATTATCAACATTAAGGTTACAGAAAAACCTATTTCATGCAGCAGGCTTCCACATTTCATGAACAACCAATACCACTTGGCAATTTTTTCATGAAGAAACCAAGGGGTACTATACAGTAAAGATCAACCCCTGTTTTAAAAGTAACAAATTCTCTAGCAACAAAAATAAAACTTTACTTCACATAACATATAATACAGTCATTTAGAAATTCATGCATCCAGAATTCCTGCAAACATGCCTTGTTTTTGAAAATTTATATCACATCACTTCTATGAAAGAATTAATTTTGCTAACTGAAAGAATCTGTTTTTGCTAACCACCAATAATCAAGATTTTTCAGTTATTTTTATGAAATTCACTTCAATGTAAATATAAAGATATGTATTATAATCATGTATAATAATTTTGTATAATGAACTGCAGAATTACTTTAATTTTTAAAGATAATTTAAGTTCAAAAAGCATTTGCATGATACTCTGAGTGATTTAAGTCAGTTAAGCTCAAACTGCCATGCACACCATATACACAAACTGAAAACAGCTGAAAAGACAATCCCCCCCCCCGCCAACAAAATAAAAGGTGTTTAAAATAAATTTTAAAATTTGCTTACTAAATCTTGTCAAAACATAAGTAAATTATTATAATAGTATGACACAGGAAAAATTCTAATTTAGACTTATTTTCTAACTGAAATCTAAAGTTGAGCAGATATTTTTGTTGGTTATACAATATATTCACAAATAAATATTAAATATTAAAACTGGAATTTGTTTCAGATAATTCTAACTGTTTAATTAATTAAATAATTTACTTTAAACTAAAACAAATTTTGAAAACTTTCAGAGAAGAAAACATTTTTCAGAGAATAATTTCCAAACAGGATATAACTAGAGAATAAATGGTAACAAACTAGTCTCTTACCTTTATTCATTAAATTTTTCTTTTGCTGTATAAATAAAAATACATATATTTGCATGTAAATAATTATGTAAATATTATTTCTTACTGCAGCTTGACACTCAATGACATTTTGATTTTGATAAAATTTGTAGCCTTGGAGAGAGATAACTAGAAATTATTTTTATCACAGATTGCAGATGCTTGTCAGTTAATCAAGCCTTTTTCTAATTAATATCAACTATGAAAAAAACTGTCTGCATATAGTATTCCCAAAAGAGGAAATTATTATTAATGCAAAAATTCACTCAGCTTATTTATTTTTTGGCAAGTATGGATAAAAGTTAATCAAATCTCTATCTTCAAATCTTTTAACTGATGCCAGAGCTTCTCAAATACATGAACTGTATATAGATAGATCCTATACAGTCAAAAGTCGTTAATTTGGACACCCATAATCTGGAATGATCTATAATCCGGACCTCAAAGCTACAAACTCCTGCGCATGCGTCGCTGCGTAAGACCTTTACGGCTGCGAATATGCGTGTGCGCATGCACAAAATACATTTACGAATGCGCGTTTAATGTATAACGGACGGTATAAGCTAAGCTAAAATTATCTAATTCAGTTAATGTTGCAGATTGCCTTGTTCCTTAATCTTCGAATTGGATCCGGCTTATTATTTTTTGCAGCCTGTTAGAGCAATTTTATAAAAGTAAGCTTGAACTTTCGATTATGTCAAATAGAATTTCCGATATATATTTACTAATATGTAAAGGCTCTACAAAGCGAAAGTATGTTTCGAAGTCCATTAAACAAAAAGTGGAATTGCTGCAAAAAATGGATAAAGGCATATCCTTTGTTTATCTAACCATTCCAAAATCTCTTTATCAATTTCATGCTGCTATGCGGGGGGGGGGGGGGGGGACGCTGCGGCACGCAATGTATTGGAAGTTGATCTGTCAGCACTATCCTTATCTTCAGGGTAGATGTTTTTATTTTATTTGGCTTATAATTCCTTACTAAATGTAGTATTTCATCTCGATGTACTCCGTCTTTGATATGATTTAAATCAAATTCCTCATCATTAGTTTAATAAAGTAAACAAATAAATATTAAGCTTTTTTTTGTAAATTTTGATACCCTTTAGATCATAATTGCTCTTTATTTCATACATTATGGTTTCATATTTTTAATTTTATAATTTCTGCATGCTATCTTACCAGATTTAAACTGATGATCTATAATCCGGAAAAATTGATAATCCGGAATCGCCAAAGTCCCGACGAGTCCGGATTAACGACTTTTGACTGTATTATTCATCAAACAAAAAAAGTCCACATTTTAATAAAATTATTTATTATGAATTCTAATGGATAAATATCTAGCATCAAGTCAAATATAATCAATACAAAAAGTATTCATGGAAATGCTAATTTATACACTAAATTACAGCTGTTCAGAGTTTATTAGAATTGACATGATATCTGAAGTACTACTGCTAAAATTCTTAATAATTACACATAATAAAATACAATCATTAATTAAAAGAATACTATAATACCTACTTCAGAAATAATACATCTGATACAGAAATAATACATATATTATTCTGACATAAAAATATGTTGAATACATTAATCTGATAAACATTCAATAAATTCTAATGATTACTCTTCACAATAAAGTCCTAGAAAATCAGTTGAATTCATAATTACAATTAATATGATACATAAAAAAGCTGTTGCTAAAATTCTTAATAATTACAAAAAATAATACATAATTATAAATTAAAAAATATTGTAAAAACTTAATTCAGAAATAATTCACTGATTGATTTAAATATGTTTAATAAGTTAATCTGATAAAAACTCAATAAATGTTCATGATTATTCTTAACAACAATCCATTGTTTCTAAATGTTACCTGCAAATAAAATCCTAGACAATCAGTTTTTTTCATTTATATGCAGCCAAGATTTAAATTATATGAATATTTTTCTTTCCCTATGAAATTTTCTTTGGTACTGTTTTTAGTTCCTTAAGCATGCAATTTGTATAATGTTGAAAATGAACATGTGAAATAATTAATAAATAAAAGGTTATCACGGCCAGATTAAGATATTAAGATGCTCTATGCATTTAACAGATTTTGGTGCTCCCACATAACCCATTTACAGTATAATACCAATATTTTTTTTTTTTTTTTCCCTCTCCTTGACTTGGTTTAGTTGCATCATACATCCCATGGTAAAAACAATAATGAGAATTTCTTGTGGTGCCCTTTTCAAGGAGTTTCAAGTATCTTTTTGTGGTGTCCCCTATCTTTGATGACCTAAGCGCCCGCTTATTTTGCTTAATAGTCAATTCAGCTTTGGCTGTTATTACGCTTTCTAATTATGAAATCTTTTCCCCTATATTGTGGATACATTTACAATATGACTGGCCAACTTACGAAGGAAAATTCCAGTTTCCTAATTCATTAAATCTGTATTTTAGCACTTTAGCACTATAATTTTTAATATAAGACTAGGCTAAAAGGCAACCTTAATTTGACAAAGATTTTGAAATAAAACATTGTCGATTTTAAGGGTGATAAAACACAACACAAGCTCCTCTTCTTCAAGACAAAATATGTTTTGTTCCTGAAGAATAGGGACCTGTATCTGATCGCCCTCGAAATAAATAGACAATGTCTCTTGCATAATTTAAAATTTTACACAATCGTATTTATCTTCCCTTAGACTGTGATTTGTATTTCAGTACCTTCTTAATTGCATTAATCACTTATCAGAAACTTAACTTATCAGAAATCGAAGAATATATTGAACTTAACAGCTTAAATTGTTTTTTCTAACCACGGTTCTAAGTATTTGACACATTTCTTTCTAAGATCAATTGCATCTACACCAGGAACATATGTTAATGAAAATATTAAATAAAAAAGAAAAGAGACACACTTACTCAGATTCTAAATTCCTTAAAATCATTCTTTACAGAAATATTCAGTGTAAAAATAAAAACAAACGCCTGTCAAGAAAACATAACATTTAACGGTCGTCAAACTTAAAAATGACACGATAAACGGCAAACATGACATTTCCGCCGAGATTCAGAAACCACTATGAAGTCGTGTGTTGAGATGTATGTCTTCTTCTTACATGTTTACATGTAGTCTTTTAAATGACTGAAGAAGTCAAACATTTATCCTAATAGAATTCTATGTTAATTTTAAATATCAAATTATGTTGAATTTAAACTCCATAAATTTAACTTGGTGTAATTACGCATAAAGAATGGATATGATCCTTTCACATGTAAAAATTAACATTGTCGTTTTGAGCATTAGTCGTTTCTGATGCAAAAGAGATTGTAAAATTAAGGATCACAACATAATTTGATCTTAAGCCATATATAAGCTTAAGGCCTCATTCAATTGAAACATTTAGTGATCGTTAGTCGTCATACGTCATCAGTTGCGATTGATTTTGCTGTTTTGGTATTCAATTGAAACGCAACGATCACTCTGAGCTCGCGATCGCTCGTTCTCATAGCGATCACTTGGAACCCATCATTCCTCGGCGAAAAACGATCGAATCAATATGGCGGCTGTGTTGTTTGTGCTTTCACGAGGACAGAAATCAAGTGTGCTAAGAAAATGCTTTAGATCTGCTGAATGAGCATCAACTTATATCAAAGTATAGGGCGTATAAGGATCCTAGCAAGGACACATCATCTGTGTTGTATCCAAATTAAGTGCACTTGTTGCTAGTGGACATTGATTTAGCGTTGTGTTGTTTACATTTGTGTTGATGGATTGCTACCTAATTCAGAGAAATATGCGTGGATGCACTGCATCAAATTATTCATATCGTTCCAGAAATAACTTTAGTATGTTCTATTTCCCGAGAAATGAAGAAATACGAAGAAAATGGGTAATTAATTCTTGTCCATTGGAATAGATTCCGATCGCAAGATCGTGCGCATTTGAAGTAAGTTCAGCTTCGTATGTTTTCATAATTGTTAAAAAAATAAGTGTTCATGTTTCAGCGAAATGTGTATTATCATTTAAGTATTGCTAATTAATGACAAACTGATTTATATGTACAAAATGAATATCAGAATGTGTATAGTCAATACACAGATACCGACGGCAATAAGTAGATGCTGATGTGATTTTCTTTATTGTTATTATCGCGAAAGGACAAAGTTTAAATAATTATATTATACATTTGATTTCAATTTTGTGCGTGATTATAACTATGAAGTGCACTTTTTATTTAAATTTTAATGCGGGATTTATGGTTTAAAATCGTATGTTATTTTTTGACCTTATTATATTGTCGCCAAATCTGTCAGTCGGCTTCCAATGTAAAAAAAAAAAAAAAAAAATGTAAACATTGGATAATATGATTGAAATTATGCATTATATAATGTTTCCCTGGTTAAAATGCGGTTTAGCCCACTGCTTGGCGATTGTTTTTCAATGGGCAATAAACGCGCCAACATGGCTAACCCGATGTTTTGAAGCTATGTTGTTATTCTGTTGCCACTAAATGTTATCGCCCTGTGTTATATTTAAAGAAATTAAATATTGAAAAATCTGCATAAATGTTTCTCGCATTGTGATAAAGCAACGGTACCTAGAGCCATCAAATTTTGAATAACATACGTTTCCAACCTAATATGGGCATCTGGAAGCCCAAACTTGGAATTTTTTTTATTATCTGATTGATACTTTGTAAAACTTGAACGAAAGTTTTATTAGCAAACTCAAAGATTTCAAAGCGAGCAACTGCAAAACAGTACGGTAAAATAAAAAAAAATAAAAAAAATTCCGTGCAGAGCGCGAAACTGTATATCAGAAATTCTAAAGATATGTTCATTTTAAAATTATTTTGCGATATTGCTGTTGAACTGAATTTTATGGTTTAAGTGTAAAGAACATTGTACGATAAAGAAATGTAACACACAAAACGTTAAAAAAAAAAAAAAAAAAAAAAAAAAAAAAAAACGCTCTTTGGGCGTAATGTAAAATCTAAAAGCTTTCATTATTTTTATTTTATTTATTTATTTATTTTTTTTTTACTTGTTAATTCTGTTGCGGTTTGAATGTTCTTATGTGGTTTCTTTTTTTAATCGAGTGTTTTCCCCCTGTGGGTTTTAGCCTTTTTTCTGCATAATATACGGAAACGTCGTATAAACGTTTGTAAATTTATTTAAAGATGAGGAGGGATCCAAAAGGTTTCCTCCTGAAATAAATTCATATATAAAACCCCTCAAAAAGACTTTACATTTTCTTGAAAAAAGGGTAAGTGAAAAAATTTTTCTTGTATTGTTCGTTTTAAAGTTGCTTATTTTAATATTTTGTATTTCTTTTTGGCTCAATCCTAGAAGATTGGAAAAGCTAACGTTGGGCAATTCTCTGATGTTTTTTTTTTAATGAAAATAGATCGATATGTACATGGGCAAAGCCAATGCAGTGCGCGATGCCGAGTTTGTGCAATTCTGGGATTTCTTTTTTAAAGTGAAAATAGATCGATGTGCACATGGGCAAAGCCATTGTGGTGCGCAATGCCGAGTTTGTGCAATTCTGGGATTTTTTAAGTGAAAATAGATCGATGTGCACATGGGCAAAGCCAATGTGGTGCGCAATGCCGAGGTTGTGCGCGATCCCGAGTTTGTGCAATTCTGGGATTTTTTTAAGTGAAAATAGATCGATGTGCACATGGGCAAAGCCAATGTGGTGTGCAATGCTGAGTTTGTGCAATTCTGGGATGTTTTTTTTAAGTGAAAATAGATCGATGTGCACATGGACAAAGCCAATGTGGTGCGCAATGCGGAGGTTGTGCGCGATGCCGAGTTTGTGCAATTCTGAGATGTTTTTTTAAAGTGAAAATAGATCGATGTGCACATAGGCAAAGCCAATGTGGTGCGCAATGCCGAGGTTGTGCGCGATCCCGAGTTTGTGCAATTCTGGGATTTTTTTAAGTGAAAATAGATCGATGTGCACATGGGCAAAGCCAATGTGGTGCGCAATGCCGAGTTTGTGCAATTCTGGGATGTTTTTTAAGTGAAAATAGATCGATGTGCACATGGACAAAGCCAATGTGGTGCGCAATGCCGAGGTTGTGCGCGATGCCGAGTTTGTGCAATTCTGAGATGTTTTTTTAAAGTGAAAATAGATCGATGTGCACATGGGCAAATTAGTGTGGTGCGCGATGCCGAATTTGTGCAATTCTGGGATGTTTTTTTCAAGTGAAAATAGATCGATGTGCACATGGGCAAAGCCAATGTGGTGCGCAATGCCAAGTTTGTGCAATTCTGGGATTTTTTTTAAGTGAAAATAGATCGATGTGCACATGGGCAAATCTTCATAGATGTATGTATGTTTCCCTCATTTTATAAAACAACGGTACCTAGAAACATCAACTTTAGAATAACGTCATCCTCCTGCGAATATGGGCATCTGGAAGCCCAAATTTGGAATTTGTTTTATTATCGTTTTCATATTTTGTAAAACTTTAACGAATTTTTGATTATTATACTGAGGAATTTCAAAGCAAGCAATGACAATGCTCTACAGATAAAAACATTTTTATCTCCAGCGCGCGAGACTGTGTATCGGAAAATCTAAAGATATGCTTATTTTAAAATTATTTTGTGATATCGCTGTTGAACTGAATTTTACGGTTTAAGTGCGAAGAACATAATATTTAATTAATAAAGGTAACACGCAAAGTGTTAAAAAATGCACCTTTGGGGCGTAATGTAAAATCTTAAATTTCAGATTTTATTTTGTTTTTTAATTTCATTATATTTGTTGTCTTTTTTTTTAATTTCCTATCGTTGACAATATTACCTATCGTAGCTTTAGATATTGAAAAGCCATGGCTTTCACAGCGCTTTTTAATAACTAGATACGAATAAATTTCTTCGGAGAAAGCACAAATGTCCGAAGACAAATTGTCAATCAGCAGACTATAATTTATGCTTTCAAAACTATACTTGCAGTTAAAAAGAATTTCCAAGCAGACGATTTATTTTGGAATTTTTACTTCGTAATTTGAGCAGTTAATTCATTTGCCGTTTGAATGTTTTTATGTGGTAGTTATCAATCGAGTGGTTTTATCTGTGTGTTTTTGCCATATTTCTGTATATACTTCGTTAAATAAACAATCGCTATGGATTTATCTGTGATGCTGAGAGAGGTGAGTGAATGTACATGTAAATTTATTACTTTATTGGAAATGCAACGGAAACGTGCCGTCATTGTCAAAAAGACTTTTTATTTTTCTGAAAAGGATAAGTGAAAATATTTTTTCTTTTTAAAATTGCTTATTTTTAATATTTTCTTATTTTCTTTCATTGTGAGAAATTAGATTTTTTAAATTTATTAATGTGTAGAATTCTAATACGAAAGTATAGAACGTGGTTTAGGAATTTAAGAAACATGGAAATGAAAGCTGTGTATGATGTTGATATTCAATAATAAATATTTTCCCTTTTTTTATTAATATAAAGCTTAAAAATTTTTAGAAAATAATGAAGATTGTTTACTTACTAGTATGTAAGAGATGGTGTCGTTACGTAGCAATAAGGTAATTTTGTAAAGATGATAAAGTTAAAATGTTCCGCAATATGAAATTAAAATTAAAAAAAATCTGATTTTATTTGTATAAATACTAAAGCTTAAAAATATTCACCCTGTATGAGAGACTGCGACGTTGTTTACAGTTTTAATAACTGTTACAATTCACTTACTGTATTTAATAGTTTGAAATACAAAAAATTTAGTATACTTATTTCTACACCTGTAGAGAATACATTGTGACGTCACAATTTTAGTCCCACCCATTTATGAACGTCACATAGCTCCGCCTTCGCAACTTTGTTTATACAACGTTTACTGGAGATTTTCAAAAAATCGCCGCTACTGAAAGTCGCCAAGCAGTGGGCTAAAGCACATTTTCACCGTTTCCCTTAAAGTAACATTAATATATCGTATTTATATTCATTTTGAAGAAGGTAAGCATCAATTTAGGTATTTAACGAATAATTTTGACTGTATTTATACATCATGTAGACTGTATTTCCAGCTCTTTCATTTAACTGCGATTGCTGTCAATTTATTTCCAATGTATCAACATAAAATATGTTTTAAAATGCTGTACAAGCTTAGTCAGTGATTCTTAATTTAATTCAGACAATTTTTTATGTGTAATTAAAATAATTTAATAATATATGTTACTGTAATTTACTATTTTTGATTTTAATGTTTTAGAAATTTGCTAAATCAAGTTTATTTTTGTGTGACCTTGCATCAGAGGCGCCAATGATAAATCTGTTTTGGCTTTCACTGCTAAAGTTTTTAATGAAAAAAAGTATTACTGATGTAAAAGAATGAAAAAAAATGATATTTACTTCCTAATCAGTGCCTTATGATATTGCAATAACTTAAAAGGCTTCTTACTGTTTCTTAAGTTGCATAACGTGTTTTCATAACTTCTTGTCATCTTTATATTTTATTCGTCTATGTTATCAAATAAATATAAAAGGTATGTTTCTAATTAAAAATTCTTCCTTTCATAGCAGTGTTATGTACCATGATGTGATATGTGTTGGCGTTTATTATATAGTTATGAACATTAGAGTCATTATAGAGTTTTATGTATTTATTAAATATATATGTAATCTACATCATTGTGTATTATATAATTTTCCTTTTAGAATATATTACATTGTATTTTTTGAGTTGTTAATAGAACTAGGTACACTTTTCTTTCTTTTGCTTTAAAAGGTCTTTTGAATCACTTTTTTTTCAGTATGCAAAACTTACTTGACCTATATTTTTCACATGTATATGATTTATGTGAATGGAATGTGTCATTTAGGTTAGCTGTTTTCATAAAGGAATTAAAATAAAATACCTTTGAAGAATTTTCATAGATAAAACTTTGAAACAATAGCGCTGAAAAGCCAAAGATGGCACACCAAACGTGAACTGCAACCCTAAAGAATGGTTACGAGGAGTCAACCTGCACATCTGGTAGCTCTTTCATTGGTTATTTCGAAACAAACGCAACTTCCGACCACGTGACAAACAGCATCGCGCATCAAGTAACCTCTGGCAACCCCTACGAGTTCGACTGGTAGGGAAGTGTTTCAAATGAATACGAAAAATCACTCGTTTTCAAAAGTGATCGCTAATGCTGGATACAACGATCGCTGTTTCAATTGAATGAGGCCTTTAATTACTGTCCGTCAATAGGCTAATATAAGTCGTACCGATCATCATCTACCGCCAAAAGTAATTTTTTTTTTTTTTTTTTTAACAAATCGTGGGCCTGTTTACTCAAATAGCACCCGAAAGTCTTCAAGAGAGCGGTTAGTTGGCGGTAGGGTAAATGGATGGGCCAAGGCCAGTTGGTCTTGTGTAACCTGATACTGTTAATCAGTAATTGTAATATGGCTTTAGATTAAATTATGTTGTGACTATTTACGTTCTTTAATAAAGAAAAATCAAAAAAAAAATTTTTAGAGAAATAAGCGCAGCAGCTAAGATCTTTAACTTTAGTGCACAGATACAGCTTAAAAACAGATTATAGTCCGTCACAATTAGACACGCCAAAGGTGTACGGAAAAGTTTACCGTGACGTCACTGGCTTCTGGATGGGTTACAATATTTGGCTTTTTATCATGTTTCGCGGTGAATTATGGCAAAGATTAACAATTTATCGTGCGATGTAAACAAACATCGAAGATTTCTTGTTAGGGTGCAAACGTTGTTGTAGTCAAAGAATATCTTAGATATTCGTTGTTGTAGTGTTCGCTTATTAATAAATTTCTTCTGGTGATAATTCAGTTAAAATCACTGACAAAAGTTTGATAGGACATGTGAGAACTTCCATTGCAGTGTTCTTTGAATTAACATTTATTTCCTGCTAAACGTATTATAAATAAAAGAACAAAACAATTTCAATTTTTAATATCTCTGTTAGCACTTCATATAATTTTTTTAGTGGTATGAATGAATAAATTTTGTGCATATTGATTTAAAACTATTACCATCAGGGATACAAAACTGAGTTTTTTTTCCTCTTACGAAAGCACTGAAACTGTTTAATTATAAAAATACTATTTTAATACTGAATTTTGAACGCATTTTTTCTGTTGATAATTTAGTTAATCGTAAAATGACTGTGCTTTCGCATAATTTAACATCATTTGTGAAGTGAATGACACTAAATTTCAGATGTGATGATTTTTTAAATTGTTTCTGCCTCTGAAATAAAAATTTATTCTAATGTTTTGCGAGTTTTTAAGTGTATCAAAATGTCAATGTTCCATCGGCACTTGTGCAGAAACATGGGAAATTGACTCATCGTTTGTTGTAATTATTATGTCATTTAATGTGAGCAAAATGTTGCAATGTATTTGATTTTTTTCTTGATGAATTTGAAATTATGAAAAAATAACGTATGGTGTAGATGATGACAGAAATTTTTAATGAATGAATTTAGAAACTGTAAGATGAAAAGAATTTTACCTTTGATCTGATTCACAACTGCATGTCACAAAACATACTTCATAAAGTATGCCGAAGTTTTATTCCTTGCAAAAAACATGATATCTATTATTCAAGTTTGTGATCAGAGAATTATTATAGAGCAATGAAAGAATATGATCTTCGTGAGGGGAGCTGTATTCTTCATAATGAGGAAAATTTGGAATTTTATTCCTTGCAGAAAACATGATATCTGTTATTCCAGTTTGCGATTAAGGAATTTTTATAGAGCGATGAAAGAATATGATCTTCGTGAGGTGAGCTGTATTCTTCATAATGTGGAAAATTTGGATGAAAGTGCAAATGAATTAATAAGGACTAACCTCCTTGGTGTATTTTCTGCATCTTCTAAATACATATTTTGAAACCATGTTTCAGAAAACACAATAATAAACTGTTTTAAGCAGGATAACTTTTACTGATGGCAAAATCAGTCACTTTCCCCAAACAGATCCAAGTACAAAATAAAAAAAAAATGTCTTTGAATATGATGATGAGAAAACTTTCTTACTTATTATTTCTCAAAACTGTCTCACCCAGTGCTCATAAACTGTGTATGAATGAAATTTTTCATGACAACTGCATGCTCTCCACTATTATTGAATTTTTAGCTCTTATTTCTTAATAAAAGTCCTGTGGAAACATGCAATTTTATATTTCTATTATACAACCATTTATTTAGTTAAACTGTATTGCAATTTCCTTGGGCATATTTCTCATCATTTAATATTATGATTCAGTTTTTGCTATCAACACAGATATGGACGAATGTAATGATATGCAAAACAGTGTGTGCTTTTTTTGTAGAAAATGCAATCGAACTTTCCAAAGAGAATAACCTCTTACTTAAATAGATTTGTATTATGGGAGTGGTTATCTAAGGAAATGTGCTATTAGTGATGTTCTATTATCAGCCATTATTTTATTTTATATCAAGTATGCTAATCATTCGCAAAGGACCTCTTCACATAAATTTTCTCTCCATTATACATGTATAAATCAACTAGTTGAATGCTTTGGCATAATCAATAAAGTATTACTACTTGCACAGTGATGTTTTGGTAAAAGTATATTTACGAGTACCCATTGGTGATTTTTGGCGGCACATGGATACCGAGTTTGTGCACATTGACCTACATAAATGCGACACGAAAAATTACAAATTATGATCAGAACAAGAGAGTTATAATAAAACATTGGTATAACAAATACATTTGTTAATGGAAAAAAACATCACAGAATTGCACAAACTAGGCATTGTGCACTGCCTTGACTTTCTTTATCCATGAACACGTTGACCTATTTTCACTTAAAAAATCACCAGAGAATTGCAGAAACTTGGCATTGTTCACTCCCTTGACTTTATTTACTGACTGAGTATATTTACGGATGTACAGAACATTCAACTACTCAAGCAATCAACATAAATGAAACAACAACTTGGCAATAAATGAAACAACATCTTCGCAATAATACAAGGGGTACCCTTCAGTCTACTCTAACCGATGCTTTATATAATTGCCTGTACTTCTGATGAAATGATATTGTAGCTTTTGCTTACAATATTTTATCAATAATTATTTTCTTTTCTATTAAGAGCATGTATAGTCCTCACTGTACCTTTATTTACCTCATCTTTATGATATGCATTGCTATGCTTAATTTGACATCTGCTTTCTATTTTAAATATTTTTCCTCCTCTTTTTTTTTTTTTTTTTTTTTTTTTCCCAACTCCTTAAAGGATGGGTCTTTGGGAGGAAAAATTAATGTCTCCTAAAGTGTCATGTGCTGTTCTCAAAGTGGGCCAATCTTTTTTTTTTTCCTGCTTTTTTATTTTCAGCTTTCTTGAAGATAATCTTTTTAGCTCAAAGGGGCAATTTGCCCAGAAAGGCTATTAATTTTGTTTTGGCATTTTGCGTTGATTCATTATAAATGGTGAATCACTTTTTCAATTGTTGCCACCAAATATTAGAGTATTATATTTAAAGAAGTTAAATAATGAAGAATCTGCATAAATGTATGTATGTTTCTCACGTTGTGATAAAACAACTGTGTTTAGGGCCATCAAATTTTGAATAATGTATGTCTCCATTAGAATATGGGCATCTGGAAGCCCTAATTTGGAATTTGTTTTATTATCTATTTCATATCTTGTAACGCATTTATAAGTCTTTGATTAAGAAACTCAATGATTTCAAAGTGAGCAATAGCAACTCTGTATGGGAGGAGGGAACATTTTTATCTCCAATGTGCGAGACTGTGTACTGGGAATTCGAAAGACATGCTCTTTTAAATATTTGTGATATTGCTGTTGAATTGAATTTTATGATTTAAGTGGGAAGAACATGATATTTAATAAATAAAGATAACACAAAATGTTAAAAAAAAAAAAAAAAACCTCAGGGCATAATATAAAATCTGAAAGCTTTCAGTTTATTTATTTATTTATTTTCAAAAAGTAGTCAATGGTTGATCATGTTCAGATAAATGACTTGGTGGTTTCACAAAATGAAATTTGCTGTCTGGTTCCGAAACGAAAAGTAAAACAGATCTGATGAATTGGAAACGGATGAGTAATTACACGAGATGTCAAATTCACTCAAAAAGTTGCACTAAATGTATTTAATATGATACATAATTTGCTATTTTTATTTTCTTTTATATGAATTGTTGATAAATTATGATTAGTCATGTATACTTCAGATTGAAACTACTTTGTGAAATCAGGTAAGGTATGAGGATTGAATATTAAAATTATCGTACACAAACTTAAGAGCGTATTTCATTTCTTAAATGAGTTGAATGAAAAATTTAAATGGGTGAATTATCTGTTTTCTTGGTACATTCACTCTGCTAAAACAGATTACAATATTTGGATTTTATTTTTGCCTTGTGATTTGGTGCAGTTTTTTTAATCAAATCAATTAAATTACTACAAAAATTCAAGAGGGAGTCATACAGTGAGCTATAGTACAATGAAATTAATAAATATACAGATATTACATGATTTGTAAGTTTTAAAATGTTTTATTCTGTAACATATTACAGATAAAAAAATGATTACTACATGAAATGAAATAAAAGTTCATCAAATTTGACATAATACCATAAAGGTCATTGTGTGTTCCTGTTGGTACAGGACACATATCGACCGGGTATCACAATTCTATTCACAAACATAGTAAAATTTCCCTGCTGATGGTCATCAAAGGAGCTATAATGCAGTCTTGGAGTTTTGATATTATTAGCAATAGGAGCATATAAATATAGTCTAAAGCACATTCCAAAAGCAAAAGATTACGGAGTGTATGGTCAATGATCTCATGGTCATCTGAACAACATTGAGTCATCTTCTGATATTGATCAATCAAAAAAAAAAAGATAGAAATTTATTATTAGGTAATACAACAGTTTTCAGAGAGGAAATGTGTATTTTTCTGAATCATATTTCATTTAGAGAAATAACAACTATAACGTATTAAAATCTGACATACCTTTTACAGTGTTTCTGTAGAAAAAAAGGACCCATGTACCTTTATCAGTGAAATGGCATATAAAATGTTCAAGTAAATATAATTTCTATTCAGTAACAGCATGACAATTTTCCATGTCCAGTACACAAACGTACCTATCCAACAAATGCTTCACCACTAGATAGTGGAAGAATTGTCTTCCATGCATACGATTGCAAAATTTATATTGCAGCATCTGTAAATAATATGGTTTTAGTTGTAATCAACATTGCAAAATCTTCCCTATGTTTGGTTATAGAACACATATTTGCTACTAATGTAATTTGTAGACCTATCCTGTTTGTGGATTACATGCAGTGTGATGAGCTATGAAAAACTTGACAAAGAGTTTGCATTTTATTCTATATAAACAACTTATGCAATTCTAATGAACTGTTATATTTTTTACAAAAACAGAAAATACTAATAATTGTATATGAATGAGAAAAACGTAATATCTTTTACCAATAAATCACAAAATATCAATTTTTAAATATTTCAATACGTTTACCATTACCAGTCTCAGGTTAATCTCATTGATTTTGGAGGGTTAATCTCATTGATTGGTGATAAAATGTATCAAGAAATATTTCAAAATGATTTCTTTAATGGTTTTGCTTACTGAATCTTGTGATACTACTGTAAATAAGAAGCTAAGCAGTATACAGTAATAAATTACAATATTAAGAAAAATATCTAAAAGTTTGATTACAGCTACTTTTTTTCCCTTCTTAATGTCACACCAGCTGTATGTGAACAAACTGCAATTAAATCTTTCTTCAAATAGTTTTAAAAAAATAGGTATGAATGTTAACCATTCATTATACATGCATGTGTAGATTCAGCAGCAGCATTTTCTGAGTCTAAACAAGAAGAATAAGTTGTATCTATTATAGCTTAGATATAAATTTAATAAGGGGCTAATGCAAGTTTCCTATAGCTCAGTTACTAATTTATATGTGAAACTAAATTTTTGCACTGTTTCATTGGAAATGACTGGCCATCTGGGGTTCTTGCCTTTATATAAGTAGCCAGTGTTCTTGAACTGTCAATACCATCATAGGATACTCTGCAGGCTTAGAGAGTCATAGGATGCTTTGTGTACACTGGTGTGCAAAAATTAAGGACGAAGTTGAAAAATTAGCATATCAGCTGAACGAAGAGGCAGAGCGGACAGAAAGACCAATCAGGAGATTAAGTAAGGTGATGTATGGTAGCACATGCGCAGATATGCAGGTAGACGTAATGGGGGAGTGTCTGAGTATTATACAGCATGTTGTCGGTGTAAGATCAGTATTTCTGGCAAAGAGATTGCACGCCGTATAGCAGTTAAAATCACACCGAGTTGCTGCCTCAGCGAGAAATGGCGAATAATCAATCTGTTAGACGACATCTGGATGCTTTTACCCGAGGTCGAATCATTGGGAAGTTGGAGGAAGGCCGCAGTGTGACAAGTGTGGCTGCAGAGTTCGGAATTGCTCACAGCATCGTTTCACGACTTTGGAGACAATTTCAAACTACAGGAACAGCTATCCGGGGGTTTAGTAGTGGTCGTCCACGAGGAGCCACACCCGCAGATGACCGGTATATTGCCTTACAGGCCAGAAGAAACAAGCAGGAGACAGCGGGAGAAATCGCTAGACACACAACACAGGTGACTGGACGACCGATATCGCGTTTTACCATGGCCAGAAGACTGCACGGTGGTGGTCTGTTTGCACGACGCCCTGTACGGTGTGTACCTCTAATGCCTGCCCATCGGAGAAGGTGTTCTCTGTGGTGCCGGGAACACTGGAATTGGAGAGACAATGAATGCGGACGAGTACTCTTTACAGATGAGAGCAGATTCAGTCTGAGTAGCGATTCTCATCGCATACTCATCTGGAGATAGCGGGGAAGCCGCAATCATCCCTCGAACATCATTGAAAGGGACAGGTATGGAGGTGGTGGTGTTCTCGTTTGGGGAGGCATCATGCTTGGTAGTCGTACAGACCTTCACATCTTCGATGCAGGTTCAGTCAACGGGACCCGTTATTGTAACGAGATTCTTCTTCCATATGTGCGTCTGTTTAGAGGCACTATGGGACCGCAGTTCCTTTTCATGGACAACAATGCACCATGTCATCGCACAGTAGCTGCCGAACAGCTCTTAGAGAGTGAGGATATTGAACGTATGGATTGGCCGGCACGATCACCGGATCTCAATCCCATCGAGCATGTATGGGATTTTCTAGGCAGACGCTTGGCAGCTCGTATCTTACCACCAGTAACGATTCCGGAGCTTTGATTGGCGCTGCAAGACGAATGGGCAGCAATGCCTCAACAACTCATTGACACCCTCATTCTCAGCATGGGCAAACGCTGTGAAACCTGCCTAGCAGTCAGGGGAGATCATATCCCCTATTAAAGACCGGATGTTTCTTGCTGGACACCCATCAAAGGGATGTTTCGGCCTTCAGTTGCATTGCGCTCCATGCTACTTTTTCAATAAAGCTTCTTTTTATCCCTCTGATTTCTCTTTTAGTAAGTGTTGTGTACATTACTCATGTCCTTACGTATTGGGGATCTTACGGTATTAAATGTGTTGATTTGGAAAGCTTTTGTACAAAGTTATATTGAAAAAACCATCTCTGTCCTTAATTTTTGCACATCAGTGTATATCAATCATGCTTGTCTTTGACATATGTGTTGCATAGTAAAAATTTATAATTATTTTGCTTTTACTAAAACAAAAGCTTTTCTCTACTGTAACTTCACATTTTCAAAATAGAGCATATATTTTTGCTACATATCACAAGCAAGTTTCCATGCACAAATTTTGAAGTTTAAGACTTTTTTTTCATTACTTGAATATCAAGAATGTATGAGTCATCGATCACATATTCTTGATTACTTACAGAATCTTACAACCTAATGAACCATTTGTATTTTCTCCCTCCTTCCAGCATGCCTTTGTGGTGTAACAGTTAGCACAGTCGGTGCATTGAAAAGTCCAGATTCGAGTCCCCGGTGAGAGCAGTGCTTATTTCTCACGTCTCCTGCTTGAAAATATCCTAATGACTCTACATTAAGACTGTACGATGATAGATAGAACTGAAAATTTCTAGATCAATAGTTCCCCCCCCCAAAAAAAAGAGCATATGATTGATAACACTTTTCGCAGGCGTTGTAGAGACATTAGGATTTTGTTTGGAAGCAGGCAAGATGAAAAATGAGCAAACGCCTTAGCCGGGAATCGAACCGCGGACCTCTGGAATACCGGGCCAGCGTGCAGAACCACGAAGGCGGGAGAAATACCTTATATACTCCCCCCCTTTTAAAGGGCGACTGGGGTTTTTAGCGGACAATCGTCAAATCCTGGGTATGGAGAGTCATCATCCACAACCCTTTTAGTTTGGGCACCACTGTAAAGACAGACATTGGGATTTTTTTTGGAGGCTGGAGAAATGAAAAATTAGCAACCGCCTTCGCCGGGAATCGAACCGCGGACCTCTGGAATACCGGCCCAGCGTGAAGAAACACTACACCACGAAGGCACGCTAGGAAGGCGGAAGAAATACCTTATAGTGTAACTTAATTTTGAGATTCTACATATATGACGTGCTAGGAAGCAAGGACGGCGGGAGAAATACCTTATAGTGTAACTTAATTTTGAGATTCTACATATATGACGTGTAGAACTCTCTAAAGGCATTTCTTTGAGAAAAGCAGAGATATGCCTATTTTAGGCAAGAAAATCATCAATGAGTAAACGTTTTTACCTTTTTATATCTTGGAGATAGAAGCTTGAACAATATAAGTCATCCTGTGTTGTGCTGGGAATCATTTGATACAATAAGAAATTCACAGTGAACGAGCTATGAACAGCAGTTGACACCCACCAATGGCTGGATGGATAGGACCACTGAATACCAGTAGTTTGACCTGGTTTGGATGTTTATAATTTTCGTGTTTTCCCATGTCTCACCAGAATCCCTTTTAAAGTCCTCTACAAAGTTAAATCTTTTGGAGAAATAGCCTCTTGTGCTTTGTCTTAATCAATTTGTAGAGACATTAGGTATTTTCTGGAGGCCAGAGAGATGAAAAATTAGCAACCGTCTCCGCCTAGAATCGAACCACGGACCTCTGGAATACCAGCCCAGCGTGCAGAACCACTACACCACGAAGGCACGCTAGGAAAGCGGGAGAAATACCTTATAAATTTAACAATGATAACAGCTGAACAGCACCCTCAGAGCTTGTTGTGAGTCTGGCAATCCCAAAGTATCCTAATCCTTCAGAAGATCACCCTCTTGGTGAAATGGGATTCGCGATCCTGGAGCCCTAGTGATCTTTCTTCCTTTCTTTTTCGTCTCTGCTTTTCTGTTCTATTTTCGTTTCTTGCACCTTAGTGGGTTTCCTTTTCGGGTGTTGGGACTGAATGTGTGATTCTGTTACATCACTTTCTTTCCAGTTTCTCATGAACAGGAAACCGCTTACGCGTTTGCCGTGCCTTGTCACCCATAAAGCTGGAAAGGAGGATCCTGGTAGTTGAGGGGTGGGGTACTGTCCCCAACACACTACTTTGCCCTCTGCTTCAGATTAAAACAGGAGGCTCTTAGCTGTCCCCTGTAGTGTCAGTCGGTTGGTCACTAGTCCTTGGTATCAGTGGTTTCGGGTGTTTCCGCTTTTTGGAAAGCTTACTGTGGGGCTTCAGATTGCGTATAAAGTCAGTTCACCCTGTCGCAGGAATTTGCATCCCTATGTTGGACTCTGTGGTGGGCTGGGCTGCTGCCGGGGCTGAATCTTTTATTTCACTAAATATGGCTTCTAATACACAAACAAATGAACAAAATGAAAATTGTCCTATTTCTATAAAAGTTAAGACAAATGCAAATTCTGACAAGAATAAAAAATAAACTGCAGTTTCTGATAATTAGTAATCCATCAGGAAATCTTCAGAAAGTGACACCGTTTTTAATGTGTGTGTGTGTGTGTGTGTAAGAACGCTAAGTTCTGCAGCCAACAACCTGATAGGCAGATCATCGCCTGCGTACCTGAGACAGACAAGGATAGACACTATGCGAAGGTGGAGGCTATCGACTTCCGATTTTGTTCTGATTCCGTGAGGGCAAGAAGTGACTGTATAAAAAAATGAAAAATTTCCTTGTGTTTATCTAGCGCGAGGAGCCGCTAAACAACTGTTATATCTCTATTTAGTCTGTTAACTTTTATCCGTAATTAAATAAATGCTCTGTGACGTGGAAAACATTCCAATTTTCACTCAAAATTTTTTTAAGGCTAGAAGTTTTCAAGTTAGAATTGGCTCTGTTTT